AAAGAATAATAAGAGTAATATACTTCTACATATACAAACTTGCATGTTAGATGTGGTGGATCAATTCTATAAAGAATAAAAAATAATAACAACTGAAATAGAAAATGTGAATAATCCTATAGAACTTTTCAGTAAATTAAATTTATAAGACTTCTAAAAAAGAAATCTTTAGGCTCAGATGCTTTTATTAGAAAATTCTACCTAATTTTTAGAGAATAATTAAAAGTAATTCTACATATTTTCTCTCAGAATATAGGAGAAAATATTTCTCAATTCATTTGACAAAATATTTTACCTTGCTATCAAAACCTGTCAAAGACACTACAAAAGAAGAAATTTACAGACTAATCTCATTTATACAATAAGCCCAAATATGCTTATTAAAATACTGCAATATTAAAAAAGAACTATACACTACGACACCAAGTGGGGTTTATTCTAAGGTTGCAAATTTTGTTCACTATATGAACATTAATGTAATCTAGCAGGTAGGAATGTAGCTAAGTGGTAGAGTGCTTACCTAAAATATGTAAGACCTTGGGTTCAATCCCCAGTACCACCAAAATAATAATGATAATAGTAATAATAGCAGAGGGGTGGGAGGGGAAGGGAGGAAGCATGGGGTAATTAATGATGGTGGAATGTGATGATCATTATTATCCCAAGTACATGTATGAAGACACGAATTGGTGTGAGTATACTATGTATACAACCAGAGATGAAAAATTGAGCTCTAAATGTGTAATAAGAATTGTAATGCATTTCGCTATTATATATAAATTTAAAAAGTTAATAAAATCACTGTGTAAATGGGCTAAAGAAAGAAGAAAAAAACCCTACAATTATATCATTCGTTGCAGTAAAATTATTTGAAAAATTTTAGCACCCATTCATGACAAAAACTGTCAGAAAAGTAGGAATAGAAGGGGGCTACCTCAATTTAATAAAGACTAATTCCTGAACATCTATAGCTGACATATTTAGTGATGGAAAAATGTGCCCTCTTACTATTCATATTCAATTTAAGTGTTGGGATTTCTAGCCATTGCATTAAGATATGAAGAAGAAATAAGAGGATTACAGATTAGATATAGTAAGAGAGAAAATTGTAACTATTTACAAGAAATCTACAGAAAACCCCCCTAATAAAAGTTAATTTCAGGGCTGCGGATATAGCTCAGTTGGTAGAGTGCATGCATTAAGGCCCTGGGTTCAATCCCCAGTACCAAAAAAAAAAAAAAAAGTGAATTTCATAAGATTGTAGAATTCAAAATAAACATAAAAATCAATTGTATTTCTATATACTAGCAACTTGGAGACACTGAAATTTAAAATTCATTAACATTCACAATCACTAATTAAAAAGTAAATGCTTGTCTGAAAATTTAGTAAAACTTATGGTGAAAGCTGCATGATATTCATGAAAGAAATCAGAGAAGTCCTAAATAAATGAAGCAAAATATCATGTACCTGGATTGGAAAATTTAACGTAGAAAACATGCCAGATTTCTCCAAGTTGGTATGCAGATTTACCACAATTTCTGTCTTAATCCTTTTTGCAGTTAGCAATATTTATTCTAAAATTTAAATAGAGACTCAGAAGAGCTAAAATGATTTATTGAAAGAACAAGAGTGGGACTAATCAGTGAACCTGATTTCAGGACTTACTGTCCATCTATAGTAACCAAAATTGTGTGGTACTGGAAGAAAATAGACATATAGACTAATAGAACAGGATAGAGAATCCAGAAGTAGACCCATAAAAATATATCCTGGTTTTTGACAAAGGTGCAAGAGCAATTTAATGGAAGAAAAATAGCCTTTTAAAGAATTGATTTTAGAATAGTTGCATATCCATAGGCAAATAAATAAATAACCTTGACTGAAACCATAATTTATGCAAAAAAATGTTTCTCAAAGTGGATCACAAAGGTAAATATAAAACAACACTTTTTAACTTTTAGCAAAAAAAAAAAAAAAAATTATGGGGATAGATCTTTAGGATCCAGGGCTGACCAGTGATAATTCTTAAGATGACCCCAAAAGCAGAATTCTTAAAAGGAACAGTTGATCAGTTGGACTTGAGAATTTTTAAAGACTTTGCTCTACTAAGAAGATGAAAAGACAGTTTACAAGTAAGAGAAAATAATTACCAAGCACATACCTGCTGAAGTTCTAGTATCTTGAATATATATAAAGAAATCCCAACACTCAAAAATAAAATAATATTGTTCAACTAGAAAATGGACAAAAGAGATGGAGACATTTCACCTAATATACACATAGTAAAGAAGTGTATGAAAAGATTTTCAACATCATTCATTATCTGTTAGAGAAATGCAAAGTAAAACCAAAATGAGGTATCACTGCATACTTATTGTAATGGCTGAAGTTAAAAAAAAAATAATGACAATTCCAAATGTTTGTATGTATGCAGAAAATAGATTGCTCATACATTGTTGATGGGATGTAAAATGACACATTCTGTACCACAGTTTTGAAGTTTCATAAGAAACAACTATCAGAAATGAGAAATAAAAATTTGTGTACACATAAACCTACGTTTAAAGGTATATAGCAATTTTATTTGCAATAGCTAAAAACTAGAAACAACCCAGATGTCATTCAGTGGATGAATGGCTGAGCAAACAGTGCTATGTTCATACCATGAAATATTATATTAATAAAAAGGAATGAAGTTACTGACATAGAACATCCTAGTTCAATCTCTAGAGAAGTATGCTGACTGAAAAAAACAATTCCAAAAAGTTTTGCTCTATTTACATAATTGTTATGATACAGTCCCATTTATATATTATTCCATTTGGTGTAATTAATGACAGTGAGGTAGAAATGTATTGTGTAAGGCTTTTGAACACCAAATAAATGTTGGATTTAATTCTTTAGATAATAAGGAACTGTTAAAAAAAACTTTTGATTATGCCTATAGCACAAAATAAATGAATAGAAAATTACTTTGGTCACAGTGTATAAAGCAAATTTTTTTATGGATATAATTATGTATAGATTATGACTTTCACAAATATCTTTTAAATATCTTAATGTTTAGAAATAATTTTTTAAAAAGAGAAGTTTTAAAAATAGAATTGGGTTACCTACATATTAATAGTTTCAAAAGTAATAGCATTATGAAATTTAGTTTATTGATGTTAAATCCTAAAACTGATACCGTTACTGGAAGTACAACTTTAGCAGAGATGGGTAGATACACTTCGTTTTTTAGGTATGGATTAATACTGTGTATTGTTTGTAAGTACATTATTTTGCTTTCTTATTATGGTTTCCATTGAAATAACATTACAAGTGGTGGCTACATTTCTAAGTCACAATCTCTTTGAGGATTTGAAGGATATTTGAGAGCATCTCCTCAGGTAGATGGCCTTCCACCTAATTTTTCATCAGGCAAGGTTCACAGATCTCTTGAAAGCTATCATCTCTGTATCCCAGTTTTAGGAAGCCATATCAGGAAAAGTTCCAGACTATATGTGTGTAACTAATTTCGGTGTAATTTGTAATTATCTCAAACCAACTACCTAATGAGCATCAGTTTTCTTTGAATACCTAAGACAGCCACCACATAGATCACAAAAGTATTTTTTTAAATATTCCATATTTAATGCAAGTGGCATATAGTGTAGTTAAAGAAGCAAGCTGCATTTATGAAATGATTAGTGTCAGAATGAGAAGAGGAAAGTAGTTCCTACTTTTAGCTTCAAAGCATTATAACTTTTATTAATTGCTACAAGAAGACATTCTCATAACTAATGTACCATTGCTTTTTGGACTTGAGATTAGGAGATGGGACATAGAAACCTCTACAAATAAATACGAATTACCAAAATGAGATAGGAAAACTGAGGACTGTGTATTATTCAAAAATTAATTTAGACTGTATGCTGGATCCTGGGACATTGCAGTAAAAACAGACTCAGGCCCTATCTTATGGAGTTTACTGTCTTAAGGAAGATAAATCATTTAGAAATAGAGTGAAAGAATAGCTCATTCTGGGCAGTACTGTAAAACAAAATGTTTGTGGTATAGGTTTCATGGAGTAGTGAAAGTATATCATTGTGCTGAGAAGGATTTGGCCTTGAGCAAATTTACCATTTTGAGACCCAAAGTTCTCATCTATAAAGTGGAATTGTTAAAGGATAATGTAGTAAGGTATGGGGTGCAGAATTAATAGCTACATCATAAATGATAAATACTGCTGCTATTATTGTCTTAAACAATCTTGATGAATGGCTAGTAGGGCACTCAGAAAGGAAGAGACAAGATTTTAGAGAATATTAGGAAATATTAGGAATAGGATATTTCTAATTATTAGGAAAGGTAGATGGTCATTCTTTTTTTTACAAAGCAGTAAGGAGACTTGCCTGGCAAGTATGAAAAGTTGTATTGAGAGATGACAATAAAAAAGAAAGATAATAATATATGTAATTTCAAACAATGTATAATATTTTAAAAATTAATTTTAATAATTTAATGTTATACTTGTCAAATTATAAAGTTAGTATTTTATAATCTTCATTAGTTTCAAGTGAAAAGTTTTAGAGGGGTTCCAGGGATTGAACTCAGAGGCACTTAACCACTGAGCAACATCCCCAGCTGTTTTTTGTATTTTATCTAGAGACATGGTCTCACTGAGTTGCTTAGCGCCTTGCTAAGTTGCTTTGAACTCGTGATCCTCCTGCCTCAGCTGCCCAAGCCACTGAGATTACAGGCATGCACCACTGCACCCAGCTCAAGTAATTGTTTTTAATATTTATTTTTTAGTTATAGGTGAGCACAGTATCTTTATTTTATTTTTATGTGGTGCTGAGGATTGATCCCAGTGCCTCACTCATGCTAGGCGAGCACTATACCACTGAGCCACGGTCACAGTCCACGCAAGTAATTTTTTTAAGGTGACAGCTTATGGGTCAGTCTTTTATAAAATAAGAACTTTGCTTACCAACTTTTACTCATTCCTTTTTCAGAGATTGGAAATGCTTATGCTGTTTTAAGCAATCCAGAAAAACGAAAACAGTATGATCTCACGGGCAGTGAAGACCAAGCATGTAATCACCAAAACAATGGCAGATTTAATTTCCATAGAGGTTGTGAAGCTGATATAACTCCAGAAGACTTGTTTAATATATTTTTTGGTGGTGGATTTCCTTCAGGTAAATTAATATTAATTATAAATACTACATTTTACGAAGAAGAGAGCCTTCCTATTAGGCTATTTAGAAATTTATCTGCTTTCTCCCCTGCATTTCTCATAGTACTAGATTCCTGTGATGGCTTTCCATGAAGGTAGGAGAAAAATGTTAGGATAACTACTTTTACTATAGCCTCTCTTTTTCCTAGAACATACTTGAATTTAAAAAATTAGTTGAAGAGTATTTTAAAGTATTTTATCTAAAGGTGAAGGAAGGGGGTGGAAGCAGGAAATCTAGTGGCAGTGTCTCAGGTAAGTGTTGTTATAGTTATGAGATGTATCCTATAGCCTGGATAACTATTTGGCAGTGGTTCTCTGGAGAACTTTCTAAATATTTTATTAAGGAAATTATAAATTTGCTAATTTGGATGTATATATTGAGGTAGTTACAATGAAATAGTAAAAAGTCTTATCACATTTTATACGTAAAAGTGTTTGCTGCCCGCTCCCCATCCACCCCCAGTACTGGGCATTGAACTCAGGGCCTTGTGCATGATAGGTAAGTACTCTACCACTGAGCTACACTCTTCCTCCTGCCTTTTTCTTTTCTTTTTCCTCCTTTTTTTTTCCTGAGATGAGGTCTCACTAAATTGCCCAGACTGACCTCAAAACTGGGAATCTCCTGTTCAGCCCCCCCCCCCAGATGAGATTATAAGATTATCAGGCACTATGCCTGACTCATGTTTTGTTATTGTTGTTGTTATTGTTTGTTTGTTTTAACATTAGGATAGAAATAATAACTTAAACTAGGCTATCAAAATGAAATATTGTAGTGACCACTAAATGAATAGATTTTACAGTGCCAACATAAGTAATAGTGAACTCTGCTTACATTTATTATGAGTTTTTATGTGGAAATTAATTTTCTTTGAGAGTATCTCTTTTTTTTTTTTTTTTTTTTTTTTGTGGTACTGGGGATTGAATCCTAGGAGGCAAGCACTCTACCAGCTGAGCTATATCCCCAGCCCTGAGAGTACCTCCTCTAAGATAGTTAAAATTATAGCTCCAGGCTTATTTATAGCATTTACTTAATGTGTTGAGTTAAAGATCCTATTCAAAAACAGGATAATCTTTTATGAACAAGCAGTATAATTTGGCATGGTGGTCTTCTCTGAATATTAGTGAGAAAGATTATCATTATTGATAGGACATTTTTGCAAAGTGTCCTTGAAGAAAAGAGGATGTATAAATACACATTAATTAACTAAGAATGTAACTTATTTTGACATATTTGAATACATATTTCCTTTTACTGAAAAATTATTAAAACTAATAATTTTGACTGAAAATATGCTATGAACAATCAGAAATATTTCAGGCCTTTGTGAATGTTTTTGATAGTTAATTTGCAGTTCCTTGCTAGTTACAACATAGCTTAATTTGCCAAATTTGTCAGTAATAGTCAATTTTGGTTCATCGCCATGTTTAAAAACAATTTGATATCTATCAGCAAGAAAATTTTTGAGTAAGTTATGGCACACATTCTATGGAATATTAAATAGCTTTTAAAAAAATTATTCAGAGTGTTATATTTTGATTTCTAGAGGTGTTTGTGACTCATTTAAATACAGAAATCAAAGTTTCTGAGTAAGGATCCAAGGTTTGTAAAAATAACCAACTATATAATAAAAGTTTTCTAGATATGTAGAATATATTTCATAAGTAAGAAACTTCAGCCTTACTTTAAAGGAGGCAGAGTTGGGAAAGAATTATTCCTGTTTCTATCCATACCTCACTCATAAGAAAAGAGGGCAGTAAACATTCATTGCTCAAAATAAACACCTATTAATTAATATATGTAAAGGACAATGTAATTTTTTTATCATATTTGCTCTCCCTAATTTAACCTTGGTTTTTTAATTTTCTAGGTAGTGTACATTCATTTTCAAATGGCCGAGCTGGTTATAGTCATCAACATCAGCATCGACATAGTGGACATGAAAGAGAAGAAGAGAGAGGAGACGTATGTTTATGACATGATTAAAAATCAAAAAATGAATGGCAAATTTCAGCTTAGGAAAAGCAATTAGAGTTATCTAAAAAATAGGGCAAGATGTTTTAGGAAGTAATATATTTTTTTTTACCAAAAGTGTTCAATAGAGACTACAAAATCCCTTTGTGATATTTTTTCATGTGTTTTTTGTTTGTTTGTGGTGCTGGGGATTGAACCCAGGGGCTTGTGCATGTGAGGCAAGCACTGTACCACCTGAGCTATGTCCCCAGTCCCTTTGTGATATTGTAGGAACAGGGGTGGAGGTAATGATATTAGTTGTTAAGGCAATATAACCCCTTCAGATTGGTGTTCTGTGATTCTAAAGAGGATACAAATGTACCATACATGTTTTGAATTCATCCTGAAAAATACTTAAATTAGAAGGAACTTTGCTTTACTCTGTAATGCAGTTATGCCTAATTGCTTATAACAATTAGGTCACAAGTTGGAAAGGTAAACAGAAAGGGCACTAGACCAGAAACTGAAATATGCCTATGCCCTAGCTCTGCCACTCATCAATTTCTATCTTTAACCCCCACATCCAAGGTAAAATTTTTTGCAATCCATAGCACATTGGTAATCTCTACTGTATGTGTGTGAGAGAGATAAGGACTTTGTTATCTATAAAGTGAGATCAGATTCTATTAGTGTTTTTCAAATCACTATCTCTTGATGATGTGCCTGGAAAGTTACAATTTCAAGAATCTGATCAGGCAGATTTGAAAGTATTATACTGAATGATCTCAAATGTCCTTTCTTCCTCTTAATTATGTATAACAACTATTGGATAATTGGCCACTACAGTTATATTATAATTTGTTATTTTTTTATGGTTTTTTATAGGGAGGTTTTTCTGTGTTTATCCAGCTGATGCCCATTATCGTATTGATCCTTGTGTCATTATTAAGCCAATTGATGGTCTCCAATCCTCCTTATTCCTTATATCCCAGATCGTAAGTAAAGTTTTATAAAAATTTATTGTTGCTGTCTTATCCCCTTTCCTTTAAAGGGCCTTCCTTTGCTCTTTTAAAGTGCCAAATCTGTTATTACAAGTGTATTAAATATTAAAATATCTGATTTTTAAAATAGCTATATATGTGATAAATTTGTATGATGTCATTTACATTTCTGTTCCACTTGTAGATAAGGACAGAAGTGCTCTATATATTTGAACTTGAATTTAATGTGGTAGGAAATATGTTGATATTAGGGACAAAAACTGAAAATCAAGAATACCTTAAAGATAAAAATATAATAATTGATCTTATGTAGATTTGAGTCATTAAGGGGAAAATGATTTTAAGAGGTCAGTACATAAGGGAAATTTAATACAACATCAATTCTAGACAACTTTAATATAAAATACTGAGTATAAAGGAAACTTCGTAAAATCATATTGGCAGTGATTCTACAGTATTAGAATCAAGATTGATCTTAAAATAACTTATCATTTCTTACATATAAGACTTTTATTAACTAAAAATTGAGAGGACTTTATTAGAGCATATTAAATTAAAAGTGTGGTTACTTGCTGGGCATGGTGGTGCATGCCTGTAATCCCAGTGACTGGAGAGGCTGAGGGAGGAGGATCAGAAGTTCAAGGCTAGCTTTAGAAACTTAGCAACTTAGTTGCCTTAAGCAACTTAGTGAGGTCCTGTCTCAAAACAAACAAACAATAAAAAGGGCTGGGGATGTGGCTCAGTGGTTAAGTGCCCCTGAGTTCAATCCCCAATACCAAAAAAAAAAAAAGTGTGGCTACTTTTTTATAACATGAAATCAGTTTTAGGTAATTTTAGAAAATGTATAATATTACTAATATTAACTTTTTAATAATTTTTATTACCTCATTTTATAGTAGTATATTAATATGTCTAATTTTAATTAAAATAACAATCATCTCTTTTACAGTGGATCAGGGCAAACCATTAAAATGCAAACAGAAAATTTGGGCGTTGTTTACTATGTCAACAAGGACTTTAAAAATGAATATAAAGGAATGTTATTACAAAAAGTAGAAAAGAGTGTAGAAGAAGATTATGTGACTAATATTCGAAATAATTGCTGGAAAGAAAGACAGCAAAGTAAGTTTGTGAAATGTTTAATATTTTTAAACTTATTCAGTCTTTGGAATTGATCACTGTAGATTTCCCTATTCAAGGAATATTCTGGAATTACCTGGGACCTAATCTGTGCTCAGTACTTAGATGAAATATAGTCAGTACGTTATTGTGGAGGGTTTCTTATCTGTGGATTTAATCAGTCATCCATCAAAATATTCAAGGGTAAAACTGTCTATCCTAAACTTGTATAGCCTTTATTTCTTGTTATTCTCCAAACAATACAATATAACTAACTAATGACAGCATTTCTGTCATATTAGACATTATAAGTAGTGTGCTTATAATGCCTAATATCAGTATAAAGGAGGATGTGCATAGGTTTTATTCAAACACTGTGCCATTTCATATCTGGATATCTGGGGGGGGGCCGAGAGCCAATGTAACATGGATACTGAGGGATGACTGTATTGTGTTTTATATACATGTGGTTATCCAGTAACCCAGTAATTGGTTAACAGTAAGGACTTAGTGGTACTTGTGTTATTGTTGTTATCAATAAATATTTGATCAAAAAAGTGAATATCGTAGTTAAAGTGCCAGTTCTGGGATTGCCTCACAAAATAACTGGCTCTAACAATATTATATATACCAAATTATTTAAATTTCAGTTAACCTTTTCGAGAACAGATAATCTATAGTAAGCACTCAGCATAATGTCTTGTTACCCATAGGTATTCAATATTTTATTTATTATTGTTTATTTCATAGTATTCTAAGTGTTTTTGCTTGGCTTAATCTAGTTTAATCTGTTAGCACTCTGGCAGGATCAGTATAAATAGGATCCTTCAGCCCATATTCTGTCCATTAACCAAGTTGTCTGCAGTTATATGGTATGCATTTATATGTGTTTGTTAAATTTTCTACTGGAAGTTTAATTCAATGTTTTTAATGCTATTCAAATACAAAGCAGCTTTCTTATTAAAAACTGTCAATGAAATAAAAGACAAAGCTCTTTGTGCTGGGCATGGTGGCTGAGGCAGGAGTATTTTAAGTTGGAGGCCAGCCTCAGCAATTTAGCAAGACCCTGTCTCAAACTATAAATAAAAAGGAATAGGGATGTACTCAGTGGTAAAATGCCCCTGAGTTCCACCCCAGCACCCAGAAAACAAACAAACAAACAGAAAAGACAGAGCTCTTTGAGGCTTAAGAAGACTAGAGAGACATCACAGCTAAAAGACATCACTAGAGAGATTGGCTCCTAGTTGGGGAGAGGTACCTATAAAGGACATTATTGGTATAACTGGTAATATTTGAGTATGGATAATATATTAGATAATGGTAGTGTATCAGTTAAAGTCCTGAATTAGATAATTATATTGTGTCTATATAAGAGAATGCTCTGGTTTAGGCAGAAAAATGCTGAAGTGTAAGAATGAAATATCGTATAATATCGGCATTATATTCTCAGTAGTTCTGCAAAAAGGCCACAAGAACAGTTAACAAAGGCCTTTATTGTAGAGAGAAAGATTAAAGCAAATTTGACCAAACTCTGAAAAATTGGTCCAATATGATAGTATCAGATATTTGCTGTACTATTCTTTTGTGTTGGTTTGATATTTTTTTCAAAATAAAACTGAAATTCAGTACATTTGTAAGTTTGGGGCTTTGAATGATGATGAAAATGGGAAGAGCTCAGTTCATTAATTAAATGCTCCTTCATTGATTAGAAGGAATTATCTTTTTGTTGTTGTTGTTGTTTCATTGAAGTACTGGGGATCAAATTCAGGGCCTAGTACATTTAGGGAAGTTCTGTACCACTGGGCTGTTACACTCAGCCCTGAAAGTAGTTTTATAAATTAAGTCATCAAAACCATTGTTGGCCAACAGATATTCTTTTGCCAGTTTTTTCCCGATGTTTCAGAGTCACTTCTCTAATATCTAAATTGGAAAATACGTGTTTTATATAATACAAGCAATAATTTGAAATGTTCTGATGAAAAGAATGTTAATATAGAAGTTGGAGATTTGTATTTGAATCTAGACTGTGTCATTCATTAGCAGTGTGAACTTTGGTTTAACAATTCTTAAGTTTTGGGAAGAGTTATCAGCAAATGAATTTTATAAGTACATTATTATGTGTAAGTAAAAGGTATAGAGTAATATTGTTTGAACAATAATTCTTAGCCCAGTTGATTGAATAAAGTTTGTTTTTGGAGATTATTACATATGAAATACTACATTTTTACCAGTGAGTATATTTGAAATGTGGTTCTGACCAGGTGGCCTCTACTTGGCCACTTTTTTCTACAAAGTAACTTATTTTTTTTTAAAATTAACATAGCTTTAAGTTCTCCCATCCTTTAGCAGTATTAATAAACAATGGAAGGACTGAGAGTAACTTAACTTCCCTGATAATTTTCATTTGTAGTCCATGTATTTGCTATTAGTAACTGTGCTACTCACTCACTGGAGGAAACCTCAGAAGTGCTTATGTTGTCTATCAGTATTATGCTCATGTAACAATAGCATTTTTCCTCTGTTTCGTCACTAACATTATATATTTGTTTGAGTAAACTAAGAGCAAGATTTTAATTTTTTTTACTTAAATTTTAAGATTATCCGAAACCGTAACAAAAACATCACAGCAAGAACAATCATTAGTATTGAATAGCATATGATATTTTGGGGATAAAAGGCAAAGATGATGCTTCAGAGCAGTGATTTAAAAAAAAAAATACTTGGGTTCAGGAGTGAGGGTAAAGTGTTCTGACATGAGTTGACAAGATTTCTATTCTTGTTTCTTTTCTTTGTTTTACATGCTAGTCTTTAGGTAAAATTGTCATTTTTTAGAGAAAATTTTATCTACTAAAATGGCTTTTAAAAATAGAACTTGTATTTCTTTATTTTTTTAAAAAAGCTAATAGAAGTGTATTGAAGGTTTCTATGAAGCATGATTTGAATTTATGCAGTTGATGTGAATTGTTATTTAATTAGCAAAATATTTTCTTTGTTAACAGAAACAGATATGCAGTATGCAGCAAAAGTATACCGCGATGATCGACTCCGAAGGAAGGCAGATGCCTTGAGCATGGACAACTGTAAAGAACTGGAGCGGCTGACTAGCCTTTATAAAGGAGGATGAACTGGAATTTTTATTTATACCTTTCAGCGTGCTCTTTATCTCTTCTGTAAATTTAATTTCATCATGAGAGCTGAAGAAAAAGATTTGATATTAAAAACTGAACTGAATAGTTGGTTCCTGAAATCTTGGGCTGTTTATGACCTATTGGTTCCTTTAAATAGTAAGAACTGACAACTAAAATTAGTATTTATGTTTCTGCAATTATTTTCGTTTTAAAAGCTTATATGATTCCTAACTAAATATGTCTTGAGAAAGGATTCTCATACCTGTAGCAATTCAGTTTTAGTGATTCTCTACCTTTTCCCTCATGTAAATATTTATGGAATGATCATTTTGTGTACATACAGATTATTGCCTTTTATTTAAATTCTTTTAGTGTTTAGCTCCATAAGACACTTCCTTTAAGTTGGTGGAATAAATGTTTTATGACACAACTTTTCCCTGTCAGGTGTTGAGTATGTGGAGTTTAAACAATGAAACTTTTTCAGAAAGAAAGAAAACAAAAACTATTTAACTTTATGTAAAATCTTATATAGCATTATCAGCTTAGAGGGAACTGATATTTTTAATATTGCCATTATATTCCAAAATATGTATTGAGATAAATGAACTGGTATAATGTATCAGTTTGCTATTTAGTTTTCTGAATTGCTAATCCATGCATAGAAATGAAATGCTATGCTGATAGATTTTAAAGAAAATATGAGGAAATGGCTATAAATATTAAATTAAAAGGGTCTTCAACAGTAAATTGCAGTTATGCCATTTGCAAGTCCAGTAATTAAAAGGCCCCAGCTGTTTGTTTATGTGTCTTTGAAGGCTGCTAAAATTTATTTAGAGAACTCACCTAATTTTCCCCCTATGGAAACTTAAGTTTCTTAGTAATCATTTAAAAATGCAGGATCCAAAAGTCAATGAATTCTACAAATAAATAGTAAGAAAAATTACTACCAAATTATAGCCTTGTGCCTTTTAACCCTATTGCCAACTCTGAAACATGTAAGTAGATCACAATTCACTTATTTGATCAGAGCATGATCTTTATGGCCACATGCAACAGTGGGCAGAAATACAGTAGCAGGTAGAATAGTGATTTATAGCAAATCATCCTTAAGAAATTCTGAGCTAAAATCTACTCTAACCATTGAGTAATTAATTATGTAGGAATAAGCTCCTTGTAATTAAATCCATAATACAAGTTAGAGAAAAAACAGCTGGAAATTGAAGTTTTTGGTGCCTATATATTGAAAATGAAACTATTTTGATTTCTAGTCTTCTATGTTTAACAGGTATAATATTTTGATGCTTTTTCGTACTCAGTTAAGGGAACATGAACAGTTTTGGGTAGTTTTTTTTTGTGAGTGAGAGAATACTAGAATGAGTGGCTTTGTTCTTTTATTTAAGGATTTCTTTCTTCTGGGTATGTTTGATTTATGACGTTTGTTAAATAAAACCACTAAAATGATATTCTCTTAAAAATGTCCTTGTTTCCCCTTTTCCAGGTGAATCAGTAGATAATGTCTAATTAAATCAGTACATTAAATTAAACATGCTGTCCTAGGAAACCTGGACAACTTACCCAACTTGCTTAAAAGATGTGACCTTTAAAAAAAAAAAAAACAGTGCTTTAAAAATATATATATATATATAATTTTAAGTATTTTTTGAGCATGTAGAATGAGTAAAGAAAAAAAGTCATCCTAAGTACCTTTGAAAGCTCTCATGTATCAGAAATTTATAAAAATTTTAATGAAAAAAATTTCACCTTTATTTTTCCAGTGTTAATGTAAAATTTACACTGTTGTGATTGATACTTCTTATTGACTGATTTATTTCCTTAAATCCCTGCTTTGAGGGGATAGGTGAAGTTATCAAATTAAGTTTTACATCATAAAGTTATACATGACTTTCAGACAGTATTATATTTCAGGTTTATTGCTACATTCTATTTGATAATCTGTTAGGGGAAATGTGTTTGAAAATTAAATTTTCAAATCAACTGTGGAAAATGATTATAGAGTGCCTGACGATTTAAGCCACATATAAGGTATGTAAGAAAGATTGAGTCCCTAATGTTACCTATATCATGGTATAAAGACCTAATAAGTACTTAAAATTTTGGGTTAATCTTTAAAAGCAAGATTTTAGATATCTTGAGATTTCAGATTTTCATATTTCTTATTCCTTTATGATAAAACTCCCAGTATTCTGCCATCTTATTTTTAGCTAGAGCTTTAAAATAATTTGATTTGATCATTTTAAAGACCACCTAAAAGCCCTTTAATTTTGCTTATTAACTAGCTTCTTTAGCTGATATTTTGGAAGTTTGGCAGCAGTTGTTTTTATTCTTTACATTGTTTATCCCTTTTTATGCACTACTGTCCTTGTGAGGGTTTGAGGAAAAGGAAATAGTATCTTTCCTCTTCTTTTTGGCTTCCTTAGTTCCCAGATAGATCGGTGCTAGTCTTTAGTCATTTGTAAGTTTTAGAACTTACTTTGATCAAATAAGACAACTGAATTCTCAATAATGAGAAATTTCAAGTTATTTATCTAATAATCTAAGTGAATATAACTGATTTGGGGAACAGATTATATTGGAATTCTTAATTATTTGTTTCATAATTGTTACATGTTTCTTTATGATTTATAAAGGTTTTGTAGAGAAAAGTAAAATCTTTAAGGCATTTTGTGATAACGCATTAAAGGACTCTGCTTTTGTGTCAGCTCAGGTGTTCACGGGAACAGGAATATGGAATGCTAGTCCTTACCTTTAATTGCACTTTCATGATTAATTTTTCTTCCTGTTAAATCTTTTACACTGGTATGTAAAATAAAAAGAAATGATTATTTGATTTCCCTTCTGATGATCTGTAATGATTTAAATTGCAGATATTTAATATTACTTATTGTATTCTTATGTTTGATTTTTAAAAAATCTCATACCTTGTGAAGGCAATGAAATATTTCTCAATGACCTGAGGACCAAAGGAACCATCTTTCCAGTTAAACGAGTATTATTACAAAGGACCAAATGGTTAAAAAGAGAAGAATGTGTACATTTACTTAGCTTCTGCATGTGAAGCTTGGGTTCACTACTACCTGTATTACTTACCCATCTTCATCCAAGTGAAGCAAACCGAAAGGGAATTCATAACATTTTTTCTCATCTGAACAACTAGTGAAATGAATAACAAATCTGAATTTTAATCTTCACTAAATAGCTGAAAACCTTGTCTTTTGGCTGTGTTGGGCTACTGCCTCATCAAAAATACATAAAATTCTCTGTCAGTTAATGAAAGAGAAAGGAGTAGTCTGGCAATAACTTTCAAATTTTCCTGAATTCAGATTTTCAGTTATGGCTAAAATGAGGCTTTTCATTCTTGCATGCCCCTTTAATAATCTGGCAGGCAACACAGTCCTAGAATTTAGGCTTCCTTTTTGGTTCATGACTATTAAATAGATAATTCCTCAAAACATACTCCTTATATTAAGGATTATGTAACCACATTTTTTAAAATAAATTCCTTTTTCTTGTTGGTATGTGATTCCTTTTCATTTAATTTGATTATCTGCTGGTGTTGGGGCCAATAGATTTGTGAATATTCTGTGGATGTGTACCTGTATAAGTGTATATATATTTTCTTCCAGCTAATACCTCAGATGTGTGATTGTTTAATAATATATATACCACACTACATTTGCACATAGCAGGGCTTCCATTAGCAGTGGATATTCATATTTCTAAATTTGAAAATCAGTCCACAGAATTTCATTGGTGTAAATTCTTTCAGTTGATCTTTTTTTCATATTTTAATGCAAATTCCTACTGTAAGGCCCATACTTCAAATATAATTGTATCTTTCTAAATCTAGCAATCTGGAAATATATAAAGGTAAGAAGTGTTTCTTAAAGTATCTTAATTTAGTAAGTGATTAAAAATTGGGATGATTAGTTGCCAAGATGTCTAGTAACTGCATAGCAGATGACACCTGGCATGAATATGGGTCTCATTTACTTCACAAGATTCTATATGTTCTGATATTCTACTTAGTCATTTAAGAGCACCATTAAAATAGTAAACATTTTCAGTGACTTTGGAGTATTTTAATCATTGATTTGAAAATGAATTGTTTGTGAGATTGGATGACTATAATAATGATAAGAAATGTAATTGATATTTTGTAATTTATATTAAGAAATGCTTCTTACCTTTTTTTGCTTTGTTTTGATTTTTAGATTGCTACATAAGACTTTCTTATTTAAAGTTTAGTTTTAGTTTGTTTTAAAAAGCTACAGGTAATTTTCAAGGTATGATGGAATTTTTAATGGAAGCCTTATGTAAGTTGAGTGATGTGAAACTGGTAAAGGAGATATTACTTTATTTGTAGTGCATTCAAGATTATATAATTAGGTTTAAAGATGAAATGTCTGATTTGTAAAATATTTAATGTTATATCAGACTTATATAAAATAAAATTTTCTGTGTGAGAACTGTTAAAATGCATTTGATTTTTAATGAATGTTCTACTGAATGATTTATGATGAATTTTTTGTCTTTTAGTCTCTGTAGTTTATCTCAATATATTAATAAAAAGGTTTGTTCTCACTGTAAAGATTCATTTTTATTATGTTTTATACTTTTTTTGGTACTGGGGATTGAACCCAGGGTCACTCAATCACTGAGTCACATCCCCAGCTCTTTTTTGTCTTTTATTTAGAGACAGGGTCTGTCTCACTGAATTGCTTGGGACCTCACTAAGTTGCTGAGGCTGGCTTTAAACTCATGATCCTCCTGCCTCCGCCTCATAATATGCTCATTATTTTATTCAGCCATAAATTATGAATGCCTGCTATATCCCAGGTAATCAGCTGGGTGCAAGGAATTAATCATTGGACATGACTCATATGAAAGACTGGACAAAGACTCTCATGAAATTTATACGTAGCAAAGAAAATAAGTGTCAAGTAAATAGTTATAATTTTGATAAATGTGATACAAAATTACAAGATAAAAATGCCAGCATGCATGACCTAAACTATTCTGGGAGTATCAGGAAAAGTTCTTCTGAGAAAGGGAGCTTCAACTGACACAAAATGTGAAGTAAGTAGGAGTGAGGTGAATGCTAGAGAAATATTTCAGGCAGAGTGTGTACTAAGCTGGTAAAGTCATAAAAACTTCAGAAGTGAAAACAAACTTACATGATTATAACATAAGGATTCCAGGGTAAGTGAGAGAATTAAAATAAGGGACTGGATTTTCATTAAGACCAGCCATGGTGATAACACTATCTCAAAAAACTTGATTTTTTTTTTTTTTTTTTTTTTTTTAGTTGTAGATGGACACAGTACCTTTATTTATTTATTTTATGTGATGCTGAGGATAAAAATCAGTGCCTCACACATGCAAGGCAAACGCTCTACCACTGAACCACAACCCCAGCTCAAAACTTGAGGTTTTTATGGGAGGAGTTTACATGATCAGATTGAGGCTTTTAGAATATCATTTTAGTTACTCACAAGACTGGAGGGCAAAAGTGATTGTAAGGCAGCTAGAGGTTTTGTCAAAAGAGAGATGATCGTAACTTGGACCAGAGAAGGAGTAAATATAAATGAATAAATTTTTAGAGGTATTTAGGAAATAGACCAACATAACTCTTTGATTGGATTTTGGATAATATGGTGACATCAATTAGGAACCAGGCTAAATTTTTCCAAACATTTGGCTATACAAGAGAGTAGAGAAGAATGATGTAACTGGAAGAGAATGTGGTTTCTCCAGAAGACTCTTATTTTTTCATTACCATGCAATCTTTTTTTTTATTCTGGAAAATGGCAAGTCAAAATTGAAAGTGAAGATAGAGAAAAAGAGGGTAATAACATTAAGAACTTGGTATGTCACAGGATATAGACTCCTTTGAAAGATGTAAGAATTAACTTTTCTAAGAGAGCACCAGCATTCTTTCAAAAAGTTAATGCACAGAGGATAAATTTAAATGCTGGTAGGTTTGTAGTGGTTATGAAATGGTAAGCCTCAGGTTTCTTGAAAGCATATGAAGTGGGGGAGGGGGAAAGTGATGAGCAGAAGTGGACAGTGAAGATGATTTGAATGATCTTGACCAAGTTACTATCATCTCTCCTTTGACAAAAACCTTCTACCTGCCTTACACTCACTTTTGCCCCCAGTCTTCAATGGTAACTAAAATGATATTCTAAAAGTCCAATCTGATCATGTAACTCCTCCCTTAAAAATCTCAAGTTTTGAGCTGGGGTTGTGGTTCAGTGGTAGAGCGTTTGCCTTGCATGTGTGAGGCACTGAGTTTGATAATTTGGCTAGTAAAAAAGAGGATTTCTGTGGGTTGTTGACAGTTGTATGAATTTTCTGCAGCCTAACAGTCTAGGCATAAGCATGAGAAAGTAATGGAAGTTTGAGGTAATCAATTTGGTTACAGTAGAGGATCCTCATTAGAATGTGTTCACAAGTAAAACACTGATACATTAGGCCCTCATTAAAAACTGTTAGCTTTATCATTGTCTACAATTTTTGAACATGTAATAATATGTTTTATGTGCTATTATTAAGTGGGGTTATAGTTTGGGTCTTAATTGTCCCTGAAAGGAAAGGTCCTTATGGCAAAGTGTTGATCTACAGCATGGTGCTATTGGTAGTTAGTAGAAACTTTAAATTGGTGGGGCCTAGTAGAATGTCTTCAGGTCATCAAGGGTATGCCCTTGGGGGATTGTGGATCATAGTCTTTGTGGTCTTTTTTGATTCCTGCCCATGAGGTAAGTGGTTTTGTCATGATGTGCCATCATAGCCCCAAAGTAATAGGGCAAATTGATCATGGACTGAAACTCCTAAAATTGAGCCAAAATAAACTTATAAGTTGATTATCTCAGGTATTTGTTCTAATGACAGAAAGCTGACTTAACACAAGTAGCTATTGATTTGGTCTTGCTGAGCAGAAATAAAGGTTTAAGTCAAAAATTGAAAAAAATACAGTGGGGAATGGTGGTATACATTTGTAATCCCAGCTGCTTGGGAGGGTGAAGCAGGATGATCACAATTTCAAGACCAGCCTGTGAAACTTGGCAAGACCTTATGTCTCTCACCCCCCATCCTTGGCCAAAAAAAAGGAAAAGGAGTTCAAGGACAGAGAAACCCTGGATTTAATCCCCAGTACTGCAAAAAGAAAATAAACATACAGGTACAAACATCATAGGGAAGATCAAACAAGAATCCTGACTGGCAGAATCATGGTACTAATACAGACATTAGGATAGTTTTGATTAGGAGAATTTTAGAGCCTGGCAGCAAGATAATGTAAAAGTATCTAATATTAAATGTACAGCTAAAAATGTAATTAATACAGACAAAAGGTACATATTTACACATTTTCAGGGCATTGTGGAGAGAAAAACAGCAGCAAAACAGATAAGTAGAAAATGCCATCATCTGACAAGGAAAAGGGACCTGAGACAAGAAGTGCAGTGTTCTAGAAGGTAAGTAAAAAGGGTTTAAAATAAGGAAAAGGAATGGATCTTCAATGATGCCAATTTCAGTTTATCTGTCAAGTTCACTTAGGAGGTCATTTGTAGAGCTCTGAAGTTTACAATTTCTTTCAAAGATAACTAGCAGGCTGGGGAAATAACTGAGTAGAAGACCACAATAAGTGCTGGCCCTAGGTTCAATTCCAGCATGTTCAAAAAAAAAAAAAAAAAAACCCACAAACTAATCCATAGGATTTCCTACAACTATAGGAAATAACCAATTGCTTTCACTGTATCTTGAACTAGAATTAGTTCCCTTTGCATACCTACTTTTAAGGATTGGAAATGAAGATCAGCTGTAAACAAGTTCCCATTGATCTCATTTTTCAAGACACACTACTCTGCAAGAAATGAGATCAGAAAAAATCAGCTAGTAAAGCCATGAGCTTCAATTTTCCTAGGAGGGGCTAAGACAGTTGTCAGCTGGGGTAAGATTTTTGGCCCTCAGGGAATTTTCTGCTGGTATCTAGTGAGCAGAGACTGGGGATGTTACTAAATGTCCTATGCTGCATAGTGCAGCCTGCTACAACAAATTACCTGGCACAAACCGTCAATAGTGCAGAGGTTGAGAACCTTGGGCTAAGGTGACTGGCGACTCCTCCCATTTTATTAAGATTTCTGATGATCCTACTACTTACACAGGCTTTTGTTAAATGTGCAATCATGGCACACACACACACAAAAAAAAAAAAAAATAAAGAGGAAAGAGCCAATTAAAGAAGGTAGGTCAGCGACTGCATGCATTAAAAGTAGAGGCTAGAGATACAGGGCTCCTTGATTAAATCTGGATAAGACCTGGAATAAAGAGCCTGTAGGGAGGCATCTGCGGTTAAGTCGAGAGAAAGTAAGCAACTGGGGTCAGAAACCTAAGTTCTTCGGACTTCCAATCGCAGGCGATCTAGTGCGTGCTGGTCGTTAACACACCAGTCCCGCAAATTTCTTTATCTACAATGAAAGATTTTAAGATAAGGGATCCTGGAAAACCCATGAAACTTTTGCATCCTCTCCACACAAGAATGCCTCATAATGTAACAGGGGTTCGCTTGATGCTTTGACTATATCCCTTGTGGCTTTGAAACTTAATTTTTTTTTCTTTTTCCCAACCATATTCTCCCCTACATTCTTCTCCCCAACCTTCTCCTTCCCGATCTCTTCCTTGATCTTCTTTCCCCCTAACCTTTTCCTTCCTGATCTCTCCTCTGATATAAAAGTCCCTCTGTTCCTGCTGATGGACAGAATCACAGCCTTTGGGACAGGAGTTCCGTATTTCTCCTTTGCTAGCAAAGCAATAAACCATTTTTTTCCTCTTTCTCCAAGCCGCCTCCTTATTAGATCGGCATCGGGGACAAAAACCCAGCTTTCAGAAACAATAACACGAACCCTCATGGGCACTCTCCGGAGGAACTGCGGCGCAGCCACCCCGTGGGAAACCTCTATCACAGCAACGTTCTCCCGGAGACTGAGCCGCGCGGAGCCGCGCAGCGCGCAGGCGCAGAAAGCAGTACGCGTGGGGCCCGAGGAGCGACTGGGCGCGCTTGCAATTTCCGCCCGTTCCGCGGGAAATCCTGTGTCATCGCCGACGAAGTGCTTCCTGGAGCGCGGCCCAGGTCACGAATCATGTGACAGCGCTTTGCGAGGAACCTGTTTTTGGAGCCTTTTCTGTACAGCTTTTGAGCTAATCCAGCAGTCAAGAAACCCAGGTAACTGGCGCCGCTCTGCCCGGTGCTCAGGCCTGGGCCCGGGGTGAAGTGGGTGGTGAGTTTGAAGAGGAGAGGCCGCCACTTCTCCTCGTTGGGCCTCGACTTCTGGGTGCGGGGGCAGGGGTGCAATGGGCGGAGGTGAGACATCCAGGCTGGGTACTTGACCGGGTGTTGGGAAGTTCCGACCCCCTCGCATAGCCTCCGTGGTCCGAGATCTAGAACTGCGGAATCATGCTCGGCCCTGACGAGGACTTAATCCCCCGTTTAATGTGGGGTCACCGGGAGGGCGAAGAAGCCTAGAGGGGAGAGTCACAGGGAGTTTCTCTTCCAGGCGTGGAGATTGATCCTGCGGGAGAAAGGGGTTCGTCATGGCGGATGTGAGTTGATACCCCCACACAAGAGGAAGGGCCCCGGGGGCGTGGGGGAGGCTACTGAGCACCAAGAGGTAGAGCTTCCCAAACAGAAATTTTGTTTCGTTTTTGGTCTCTCTTCCGGGTTAGGATCAGGTGTGAGAGACTAATATGATTGGATTTTAAGGGTCCTGGGTTTCTGGTTGAGAAAATTGTATTCTCCCCTTTCCCAATCCTCCTGGGCCTTAAAAAAAAAAAAAGGCTGTATTTACCATTTGAAATTCTAAATGATGCCTTTCCTGTCAGTATGTAGGACATGTGCTCTGGATCCTTTTTTTAAAGTCAGCAGTCATGATAATTTCATTAGCTGCATTGTACGAATCGCAAGTCAAGTTCTGTGTGAGTGTGTGTGTGTGTGTGTTTAAGATGGGAGCAAAAGTAAACTGGTGGTGATAACATGGAATAAAATGATCATTCAGGTTTGGAGAAGAGCACGGATTAGAGATTTGGAAAACAGATATGAGTCATATGTAGGTACAGATTACGATTATATATGGTTTGACAATGAAATTCATCAGGTGAGGGTGTGTAATAAAACAGATTATAAAAGTTTTCTGTTTCTTTAGTCCTAAATATGTTCTCTGCAGAATAAACACTCGATATATTGTCTTTTTCTTTTAGTCATATGAGGAAGCTAAAACTTAGAGAAGTTAATTAACTTGTTTAGGATCATTAAGAAGGACAATGGAGCTGGGCCCTGTGGTGTACACCTGTAATCCCAGCCGCTGAAGAGGCTGAGCTAGGAGGATCACGAGTTCAAAGCCAGCCTCAGCAAAAGCGAGGTGCTAAGTACTCAGTGAGACCCAGTCTCCAAATAAAAATATACAAAATAAGGCTGGGGATGTGGTTCTGTGGTTGAGTGCCCCTGAGTTCAATTCCTGGTACCTTTCCTCCAAGAAAGAATGGAAAATCTGTCTATGGATGTAGAAAAAAGTTCATAATGTATTCCTTTTTTGTTGTTGTTTTTGTGGGGTTTTTTTTGTTTTTTGGTTTTTTTTGGTTTTTTTTTTGGGTACCAGATTGAACTCAGGGGTACTCCACCACTAAGCCACATCCCTAGCCCTCCCTAGCCCTATTTTGTATTTTATTTAGAGACAGGGTGAGTTGCTTAGCGCCTCACAGTTTCTGAGGCTGGCTTTGAACCTGCGAGTCTCTTGTCTCAGCCTCCCAAGCCACTGGTATTACAGGCATGTGCCATGGCACCCAGCTCATAATGTATTCTAAACCAGTAGCTACAGGAGTAAATGTATTATGAAAAGTATGAACTGGCTTTACAGCTGGTACTAATACATACATCTCAATAAACTTCAATAGTTATATAGGTTCTATGATTATCTATTCAACCAGTAATGAATTATTTCTCTAAAGGCTTAGAGCAAAAGGTTAACTTGCTCTAAGTTATAAAACTAGTAAATATAAAAATCAGAAATAGAAAGATAAAATGCCAGCAAGAAAAGTTACGAATGATGACTTAAGTTTCCTGAAAGATGGATAGGACAAGTCTAGAAAAGCAGTGGAAGCTATATAATATTACTTTTAAACATTCTCTTTCAGGACCTGAAGCGTTTCCTGTATAAGAAGTTACCAAGGTAAGAAACCAGTTATTGCATAACTTCCTCATAGCATGTTAATTTTATGAGGCATATTATTTCTCTAAAGATATTTTGTATGATATTTATTATCACTTTTAAATATCTAACATTACTGTAGGTATCATAAGTGGTGTTCTTTGAGTTTGCAGATAAATAACATGAGGCCTAGAGGAGTTGTGTGGCTTTTCTATCCATTTGCTAGCAATGACATAATTTCATTCTTCATGGCCAAGTAAAACTCTGTTGTGTATATATTCCATATGTTTTTAATCTATTCATCTTGATGGTCATCTGGGCTGGTTCTATAATTTGACTACTGTTAATTGTGCTGCTATAACATTGATGCGGCTGTATTGCTATAGAATGCTGATTTTAGTTGTTTTAGATAAATATCAAGGAGTGGGATAGTTGTGTCCTATGGTGGTTCTATTCCTAGTTTTTTGAGAATCTCCATACTGCTTTCCAGAGTGGTGGTGGTAATTTGCAATCCCACCAACAATCTATGTTATACCTTTCCCCCATATACTAGCCAACATTTGTTATTACTTGTGTTTTTGATAATTGCCGTTCTGACTGGAGTGATATGAATTCTGTGAGTATAGGTTTGTTTGTTTGTTTTTTTGTTACCAGGGATTGAATCTAGAGGTGCTTTACACTGAGCCACATCCTAGGCCTTTAAAAAAACAAAAATTTAAAAACTCTAAATTTTTAATTTAAATTTAAAAAACTCTAAATTTATTTTGAGACAGGGTCTTGCTTAGTTGCTTAGGGCCTTGCTAAGTTGTTAAAGCTGACTTTGAATTTGCAATCCTCCTGCCTCAGCCCCCTGAGCTGCTGGAATTATAGGCATGTGTCACTGTGTCTGACCTGATTTTTTTTTTCTTTGGAGAAATTTCTGTTTATTTCTCTGGTTCATTTATTAATTTGTTTATTTGGGTTTTTTTGGTGTAAGCATTTTGAGTTTTTTATGTTTTGGATCTTCCCTATCAGAGAAGTATCTGGCAAAGATTTTCTCCGATTCTGTAGGTTCTCTCTTTATGTTCTTAATGGTTTCCTACTTTTAAGGTGAAACTTTGCTGTGCAGAAGCTTTTTAATTTGATGGCATTCCTCTTATTGATTCTTGGTTATATTTCTGGAGTTTTAGGGGTCTTTTTAAGGAAGTCAGTGCCTGTACCTATATGATGATGGAGTGTTGACCTTATGTTTTCTTCTAGCAGTTACAAAGTTTCTGTCTAATTTCTAAGTCTTTGATCCACGTCATGTTGAATTTTGTGCAGGATGAGAGATTGGGATCTAGTTTTATTCATGTACATATAGATATTCAGGATTCCCAGCTCCATTTGTTAAGAAGCTTATCTTTTCTCCAACATATATATTTTTTTAAATATTCATTTTTTAGTTGTAGTTGAACATAATACCTTTATTGTATATATTTTTATGTGGTGCTGAGGATCGAACCCAGGGCCTCACATATGCTAGATGAGCGCTCTACTGCTGAGCCACAACCCCAGCTCTTCACCACATATTTTTGACACTTTTGTCAAGTATCAAATAACTGTAAGTTTGTGTGTTTGTCTCTTGTGTCTTCCATTCTATTCCACTGGTCTTCATGTCTGTTTTGATACTAATATCAAGCTGTTTTTGTATAGGTCTGGAGATCAGGTAATGTGATGATGCCTCCTGTGTTGCTCTTGCTCAGGATACAAGGCTTTGTTTTGCCTACACACAGTCTACTTCATGTACTATTTTCTAAATTAAGCTCTTGTATTAAGGTTAACAAACTTTCTTCTAGATTTTTACTAATTCAAAGGACTTTGTCCTTATTTAAAATTCATATTTAGTGTAATGTAGAAAATGCCTTTCTTAGCAAGTGCTGCTTTCCTCTGCACTCTTACAGATAACTTAGACTTGCTCAGTTGAGGGCACAAGAGAGGTATATGATTCTCATGTTCGACAAGGAAGTGATTCAGAATTTATTGAATAACTTTAAAGTAATATAGCAGAATTTGTGGTGAGAATTTTTTCTTATCTCCCAAATCTGAAGTTATAAAAGGTTGTGTATGTCAATGTATTTTTGTAGATAGGGGAAAACACCTTATTTGGATTTTTGCTTGAATTTCCAGTGTGCTTTTTCTAATGGAATGTGCCTGTAACTCGCCTGATTTCAGATCACTGGAAATTAATGACATTATTTTCTGGTTTTGAATATAACTGTTATATTTTTCTCATGTATTCAGGAAAAAAAATATTGAGGTTTTAAACTATGAAGTAATTGATTTTGTGTTACTATAATGCTTGAATTCATTTGTATTCTTTTCCTCCTAATATTGGCAAACTATAGAGACAAATTGTTGATTTTCTTTTTAACCCAGTAATCAACAATACAGGAAGTCCTAGCTTTGCATGCTAATATAGGTCTGTAGAAATGACAATACATGCTGAAAATAATTTAGAAATCAGGGAAAATAGCAATTGTTTTATGACCTTTAAATTTTTAAAGAACATTAAAATTGTCTTATTGTTACTTATAAATATTTAGGGGAATGAAAACAAATACTAAAATGAATAATTGCTTAGTACAATAATTTAAAACATTGGGGACATTGAGAATTAAGTTTTTTGTTTGTTTGTTTGTTTGTTTTTGCAAAAAAGTGTATCAAGAGTAAGTTTAAAACAGTGTTTAATTCCAGTGGCTTGAGATGCTGAGGCAGGAGGATTGCAAGTTTGAGGTAAGCCTCAGCAACCCAGTGAAGCCCTTAGCAACTTAGTTAGACTCTGCATCGAAATAACAAAATTTAAAAGGGTGGGGTGACAGGTTGGGGGTGTGACTGAGTGGTAGAGAGCTTCTGGATTCAATCCCCGGTACCAAAAAAAGAAAACATAAAAAGTAAAAACAGTGTTTAACTGCTTTTCATTTACTTTCAGAGAAGGAGCTAGATTCTTTTCTAGATCTTGGTGAATTGTCATAGTCTAATAATTTTGGATTAGCTGCCTACTTTTATCCTTTGTAATTTCACAGTTGTGAAATATCTGAGTCCTTTAATTTTTTTATTATTTTTTTTCCAGAATCACTTTCTCTGGGACTTTTATCATATCTGGTTTCCTAATTTATGTCATTAAATTTACCTTCACTGAGTGCCTCTGGCTATGTATCTAGAATCCCCCTAACAGTGATGGAGTCCACATTTTCTTTGTTAGCTCTTTCTTCTGTTAACTATTTACCATCATTTCAAATTTCACTTCCAACATTTTAACTTTTCATTACCTTTCTGTAGTTCATCTTTGCTGGCTACTTCCCTCTTTAGATTATCTATTTTTTTTTTTTTTAATGTCATATAGTTTATACTGGGAGACAAGGGCTGTATGCCTTGTTATGTCTCTTTGTGAACTGCATGATAGATGCCCAGTGACCAGTCATGAACACATTTTGGAAGAAGTGATGTGGATGGTTACAGATCACAGAGTACATCTGTTAATTACATAGTTATCCTCATGGTAATGTGAAGAGTTAGCAAAGTCTGTAGCTTATGCAGTAATTCAGTAAATATGTGAGGGTAATTGAAATTCCACCCATGTTATGGGCAGGAGGTGGTATTAACTAAATCATAATAACTGAAAAATGCAAACTGGAACTAGCAAAAATGAAAGCTTTCTGTATTTATCTGTAGTTATCTTGTTAGAACCCTGGCATTTGAAAGGTGCTAAATTGAGGGGGTGGGAGAACACTCTACTGGTGACACAATATGGGAATAAAAGCATAATTTATCCACTTAGAAGACTTACCAGTTTAAAAATGCTATTTTAAGAGTCTACTTGTTGAAGAAACAAAAAAATTTTGCATTCAGTGTTTTTAACTTATATAGTCACCATTGAGATGCTCTTTATTCATCTGGAGACCTAATAAACAAAGCAATAATTAATTCTTTTTTTTTAATTTGTTCTACTTAGTTGTACATAACAGCAGAATGCATTTCAGTTCATAATATACAAATGGAGTACAACATTTCAATTCTCATGGTGTAGAAATGCACCATTGGTGTAATCATACATGTGCCTAGGGTAATGATGAGCAATAATTAATTCTAATTACATGGTCTGATTATAAATAATAAAATTGATTCGGACATTGAGGATCTCACATTATCAGCTTTTGATGCACTATGGCACTGGGCATGACAAAGCTGTCTTAAGAATTGTTAAAAAAAATATGTTCATTTTATTTCTGAGCAGTGCTTAAAGTTCATCAAAAACAGTTGAAAAGTAATTGACAAGTTTGAATTCTGACATCTTTTATCTTTTTAAAAATATTTTTAGTTATAGATGGACACAGTACCTTTCTTTTGTTTATTTATTCATTTTTTTATGTAGTGCTGAGGATCAAACCCATTGCTTTAACGCTTGCTAGGCAAGCGCTGTACCACTGAGCCACAACCCCAGTCTCTTTTATATTTTAACCCAAGGGAAAACATCAGATGGTAGTGCCCTTACAAGAGGTGTATTCAGTGTAAGAATATTTGTAAAAAGATAATTAATTCTTCCATAATGACAGAAAAGGAATTAATGTCATCTTTTTTTTTCATAATGACTGAGTCCAGTTTTACTTGTATTGTGATCTTAAAGTAGGCTTACTGTATTCCAAGAACAAAAAGAAGGAAGAAATAGTGTGAGCACTTTGATTTGTTGCTAGATGCATGGATTTGAATCTTTAGCTATGAACAGATTCCTCAGCGCTGTGTGCGCTGTGCTTCTCAACAGCCAAGTCAGTCAGCTACAGACATTAATAGAATGTGCGCTTTTGAATTCTGTTAAGTATCATTCTTGGATTTGTATTTTAAAATCTGGCTATGACCCAAAGAAGCATCAGGCTTTTATAATCACAACTTGTCATTGTTTTAAAATAACCAAATATTTCATAATTATATGAAAAAGCTAAGTATAAAGTCTTTGTGGGTAGTTAGGGAAGGGAGCTTGGAGATTGAACCAAGGGCCTTTATTATACTAAGCTCTCACTTGCACATGCTCTACCAATGAGCTATACCCCCAGCCCCAGTATGTTGTCTTTGATTACTGATTAATATTGTTTTTAGAAAAAGAATGGTTATTTTATTTAGAGTTTAGATTTCTACAGAATGTTCCGTAAAATTTAATTTATTCCTTGTAAAAATATAATGTCTATTAGTGAATCACACTTATTTTTAATTTTTAGTAAATCTGTTTGTGGAGCTCTTTGTTTACAGTCGATAATTGAGAACAACTTGTGTCTTTATATTTGTGACCTCATTTCTAAAAATGGTTACTTTAAGAGTATAAGCAAATTGTTCTCCTTTCTTGGACTTGTATTTCTGTAATTTGCAACCCATTAAGAAGAAAATCCTTTTGCCAGTTCCTGTAATCCCAGCAGCTCCAAAGGTTGAGACAGAAGGATCTGAGTTCAAAGCCAGCCTCAGCAATTGCAAGGTGCTAAGCAACTCAGTGAGACTCTATTTCTAAATAAAATATAAAATAGGGCTGGAGATATGGCTTGGTGGTTGAGTACCTCTAAGTTCAATCCCTGGCACCCCCCACCCCTTACATAGATAGATAGATAGATTAAAAAGAAAGTCGTTTTATTTATTTATTTTAAAATTTTTAGTGTTTAGTATTGGGGATTGAACCCAGAGGCACTTTAACAATAAGCTATATTGTCATCTCCTTCCTACCCCCCACCCCCGCCTTTTTAAATGTTGAAACAGGGCCTCACTAAATTGCTAGGCTATCTCAGATTTGGGTTCCTCAAAAGATTGGGGAGACTCTGCTTCCCCAATCTCTGGGATTACAGCTGTATACTGCCATGCCCAGCAAATTTTTTCTTTTGGTGCATTAGTTGCTATTTAAGTTAATTACCATGGATATTAGGGGAAAAAAGCTACCTGTTGTGGCACAAATTTTTCTAAACATTTTTATAGTACTCTTTTTACCTCTTTAAATTTGCTCATTTTTTGAGTAGACAATATAAAGTTCAAAAAAAAAAAAGGGTACAGAAATTAACTGAAGAGCCGGGGATGGGTTCAGTGGTAGAGCACTTGCCTAGAATGTCTGAGGCCCTAGGTTATTTCCCTAGCACTGCAAAAGAAAATATTAACTGAGGAACATAGAGTGAAAAGCTTCCTATCCTTGTGCTCCAGCCACATAGTTTCCCTGTTAGAGATGACTGTTGTTATTTTTTATGTACCTACACTTAACAAGGAATGTAAGCATGTGTATTTATACACACAAAAACAAGCCTTCACATTACATTATATAAGTTGTTGTTTCTTTTACACACTGTATTCAAAACTTGATATTTTTTCACTTGGAAGAATATACTTTGAGATTATTCCCTCCCGGCACACAAAGAACTTTGTTTTTTAAGTCTACAAAGTATTACATTGTATGTCATTGTATGTGTATATCATTATTACTTATTTAACTTGCCCTTCCTTTCAAGTTATGTTGCTGTTTATAACTTCACAAAATGATTTGCATGTGTGATTCTATAGGATACGTGTTTATATGACCTAGTTTTGAGATTAGAAGAATATATTTGTTTTATTATTTTTCTAAAATATATTTTAATCATAGATAATTTCAGGATTAAACAATATTAGTAATGATATAGTATAAAATAGTATGATACACAGTTACTTCATCATTCTTTTTTTTTATTTGTTTTAATTAGTTATACATATTAGAAGGAATGAGAGAAAGAGAAAGGTATTTTTCTTTTTTTTTAATCCTATAACCCTACTAATAACCTTTTCTGCTTAAATAAACCATGGAATGATAATCCATTAGCAATTTTAATGGAGAATTAGCTTTTTAGATCTTTACCTAAATAATACAAACATGTAAAGATTTTAAACATGTTAGTGATACAGATTCATTCAGTTTTTGAAAGAGTTTTAGCAAACACATTATAGGAGCATAGTATATTAATAATTGAGACCCCAGTCATTTTTTCAGAAATACATGAGAATTACCATTATGAGTTTGAGGTATGTATTTTGAGAAAAACGGAATATTTTATAATATTTTGCCTTTTTTCTTTTTCTAGTGTTGAAGGACTCCATGCTATTGTTGTGTCAGATAGAGATGGAGTACCTGTAATTAAAGGTAAACGTGAATATTTGCTCTGGACTAAAAATGTATTTACATCTGATTAGTGCAGAAGGCAAATATATAAAAATTATTTCAACAAATTCAGAAGATGGTCTAGTTCTAGAAGAAATATTTGCTTTTAGACTTTAGAATTATAAGGTTAGAAGTCTCCTGGTTTAGTTCTTTACTTTTATAAATGAAGATGATCAAATGAAAAGAGTACATTGCTGATCCAAAGTTGCACATGAATCAGTGACAAGGAAATACTAGAAACCATCATTTCCTGATGTGTAGTCCAGCATGTTTTCTAACCCACCACACAACATGGGTGACTATAGTCAGGCCACTGCCCATTCTTACTTTTGTAATGAGGACTTTGAACAGAATAATCTTTGATGATTGTTTAGCTCTAAGGTTCTCCCAAGGATCTATGTAATGCCTTGCACTCAACACTTATTGATACAATCAACTCCATTCAGGCCTTTTTTTTTTTTTAATTATTATTATTATTATTAGTTGCTCATGACAATAAAGTGAGAAACTTGAAACAAGTAGCCACTTGTGGGATTTATTTATTTAATTTTTTGTGTATGTGCTAAGGATCGAATCCAGGGGTGCTTAACCACTGAGCAACATTCCCATCCCTTTTTTTTTATTTTATTTAGAGACAGGGTCTCTGAATTGCTAAGTACCTCACTAAGTTGCTGAGGCTGGCTTTGAGCTCACAATTTTTCTGCCTCAGCCTCCTGAGCTACTGGGATTACAGGTGTGCGCCACTGTGCCCGGCCACTTGTGGGATTATTAATGTTTAGGAGAGATGCTGCTGCTCTGGGTTTTATGAGTGCTAAAGTTTTTGTAGTTTTTTTCATTATTTTATTCTAGCACAGCTCTTGGATAACCAGAATATTCAGTTTATTGAATGTGTTGATTATGGTTTATGTCTTAGATAGATAACAAAAAAATACGAACTTTTTTGGGGGGTGGGGTACTGGGGATTTAACCCAGGAGCACTTGACTACTGAGCTACATCTCCAGTTCTTTTTATTTTCTATTTTGAGACAGGGTCTCATTAAGTTGCTTAGGGCCTTCTAAAGTTGCTCAGACTTGCCTTGAACTTGAGATTCTCCTGCCACAGCCTCCAGAGTCACTGGGATTACAGGTGTGCACCACTATACCCAGCACAGACATTTTTATTTTTATTAAAAATTTTAAAATGCAAGAATTACCATTTTCTCCCTTAGTTATTATCACTGAACTTCTGATTAAGCAGTTTTTCCCATCTAAGTTTATGAGACCCAGTTTAGTAGTATGGTTTTTAATATTGTAAAATGTAACTTTTTGCTCATTTTTTTATGGATTTATTTTTAAAAGGGAGTGATGTAAATCTTCTCTGTACCACATTCTTTGCATAATTTTTACTTAAATTGCTTATTTTTCCAGTGGCCAATGATAATGCTCCAGAACATGCTTTGAGACCTGGTTTCTTATCTACTTTTGCCCTTGCTACTGACCAAGGTAGTAAACTTGGGCTTTCAAAAAATAAAAGCATTATATGTTACTATAACTCTTACCAGGTAAGTTCATTATTCTCAAATAGTTTTCTGATTTTAATTATCCTTCGCTATCTTTAATATAAAATAGCCCTGTGTTGTGATGCTAAATATTTAGTTTTGAAGGGGATGAAATTTTAAAATTTTAACCTTCAAGTTGGTTATGTTAAAACTGTAGTAATTTCCTTAAGGTTTCTTAAAAGATTTTAAAATAAAGTACGTGTCATCTCCAAAAGGGTAAGTTAGATCAACTCCAGGGTAAGTTAGATCATTGTTAACTCCAGTAGATGGTGCCATTAGCTAAATAAATAGCTATGATTTCTCAAACAATACACTTTTTTGTTGTTGTGACAGATAAAATTATTTCTTTGAAAGTCAAATGATGTTATTTAAATTTGTTATTATTGCCCTTTTTTTGTGTGTGCTGGGGATCAAACCCAGGGCTTCATGCATGGTAGGCAAGAACTCTAGCACTGAACCACATCTCTAGCCCCTATTGTTGTAAATTCTGTTGTTTGAAATGCACATATAACAAATGAGGTTATTATTTGTGGGGAAGAAATTAAAATTGTGCTTTTATTTTTTGAAAGCCCATGTTGTTACATGTCTCTTGATCTCCAGCTACATTTTCTTAGTAATTATTTAATCCTTTTTGCTTTAGAGACATGTTTCCTAGAATGTAACTCATTTGCCACGGATGACATATAATGACATTTTAAATTTTAAAATTATGTATTTTTCACATGAATTAGGACAAATAATCAAATCATCTGACCTACTCACCAATAAGAATTAGTTGAAGCTCAGTTTTTAAAAAAGTAGTTAAGTTGATAATGTTTAGTTTATAAATTAGGCACAGTAAGAGATTAACGATATAACTTGCCATAGGTCTTAGCAACCTTGGTGTATAACTTTTTTTCTTTCCTTATTAAGTTGAAAACTTTCATCTTTTCACTTAAAGGAAGCTCTTCATGGCTTCTTTTTGGCATATCTGAATTGCCAACATTGCTTTTTGCATCTTGAGCCCATAGGTTACTTTAACACAAGCACTACCATGACAATCAAGCTGATCAAAAATGACTACTAAGTGACTAAAGTGGATAGCAGCATGTACATTTTGGATATGTTGAATAAAGGGCTAATCACTTCCTGGCCAGAATAGAGTGGTGCAGTATGATATTTCATCATGCTATTAGAATGGCATGCGATTTAAAATTTATGAGTTATTTTTGGAATTTTCCACTTAATATTTTTGTAACATGGTTGTATTGTGGGTATTGGAAACCTTAGAAAGGGATACTACAGATAAGGGTGGGGGATTGCTGTACTTGAATGACTAAGAAATTATTACCTTTAGCTATTATCAATTATTCATTGAACCTCTGTTATGTAACTAACACTTGAAAACTTTCACCTTGAAAACTTTTTGGGCTAAGTGGTTTTAATGTCTCTAAAAGATATCAAGTATGTCCATTTTTTGGAAATATTTACTTTGAGATTATTTATATTTTATAATATAATATACCAGGTTAGGCTAATAACATTGCCTATTTAAAAATTTTTGAAAGATTCAGAATTTCAGTTGAGTTACACTACATTTTTACAATGTAACATTATTTAGATCTTGTTTTCTTTGTAGGTGGTTCAGTTCAATCGTTTGCCTTTGGTGGTGAGTTTCATAGCCAGCAGCAATGCCAATACAGGTGTGTTTTTGTTACCTTAAATATAGCTTTTTTTTAAAAAAAAAAAATTTATTTTTGTACTTGCAGATGAACAGCATGCCTTTATTTTGTTTATATTTATATGATGCTAACGATTGAACCCAGTGCCTCATACATGCTAGGCAAGTGCTCTGCCACTGAGCTACAGCCCCAGCCCCTTAAATATAGCTTTTAATTGTTTATATTACTGTATCTGTGCAGTATAATAGAATTAATAAATTTCAGTTCTGAAAACTGCCTAGCTCTGACATTTACTTCCCTTGACCTTGGGAAATAATTTCTCTGAATCTTGGTTTCCATACCTGTATAATAGAGCTGATATTTGCTTTCTATATCTTATGAGCTTATTTTCTTGTTCAAAAAGCAAATAAAGTTTTTGAGATAGGAAGGAAGTTAAATGTTATCCTGAGTGCTACATCTTGTTCCTATTAAAATAGTTTAAGCAAACAGGGTGGAGAAGATAACCAAACAAAACCCACAAAATAATCAAAGATGATTTACCTCCATATAGACCAATCAATTAAATTAGAATTTTTTAAATTGCTAATGATGATGGGAAAGATGATTGAGAATTTAAAGAGCTTTAATAGAATGAAGACATTCCCATTCTTAAGTGCTGAAGAATTTGAGAACAAATACTAAGAAGCTGTACTTTCTATAGAGAATAGTAAAATTCTGTGATATCCGATACCCTTCACTGGGTGTATATGTGTAAAATAATGGTATTGTTTAGTTGGGTTGATATATTTCACACCTATTTGGGTAAAGTGAGATTTTTTTTTTTAAGTCACAAGTTATCCCATACTAAATAATCGAGTTATTATACATTGTATAATGTACAGACAGTACTTAGAACCTAAATTAAGGGAATGCTAGGTATGCTAATTTCTAGGTGAGTTTTTCTCTGAGATTTATCATTGAACATGTAAATATGTTTTATACTCTACCATTTGTCTTTATTGTTTCATTTGAAATACCCATTTATGTCTTAGCTTTATTGAATTTATTCAGTTTTGTTGTCCTTTGATCAATATTGAAGTAGCTCATTTACCTCTTTTGATGTAATGTTAACATATGCTCAGGAAAAAAAATATTTCTTATTTAGTAAAAATAATGTGTATTATCGTCAATCAATGCATATTTTGAAACAGATAAATTAAGATTTTCCTTTCAAAACTCTTAACAAAATACAGTGCATATAATTCATCTGTATCTACTAATAGAAACAAATATTTTTTTATCCATCTACTTTTTAATAGTAGATTAAAATGGAACTTAGGATTTGGGGTTACTTTATTCATAATTAGAATAATTGTTTTATTTCTGAGAAAATGTGCCTGATTTATTTTTGAGCAACTAAATTTTGGAAAAGGGGGAATTTAAGTTAATGACTTTCAGGAACATTTTTCTGACATTTTCTAATTCTTCAAATCTCTTTGTTTTAGGACTAATTGTCAGCCTAGAAAAGGAACTTGCTCCATTATTTGAAGAATTGATAAAAGTTGTGGAAGTTTCTTAATGGAAAAATGTTTTCTGATGTGTATATGGTCTTTATTGTAACAATATCAATCCAGCAATCTTTAGAACACAATAATACTTTTATCTATGTACTCGAAAAGGCCCCTTTTCCCCCACCTTATACTAAAGAAAGAGCCTATAATGTATAGACAGATCAATTGTTATATTTACTTGCATAAGGTCTTTTCTTGTTTAGTGAGATCTGGGGATACCACAGAAATGGTTCAGTCTATCACAGCTCCCATGGAGTTTGTCCAGTCACTAGATATAAATGAGATTCTATTCAGTGGATCAGAATCAAAATGGTACATTGATCCACTTGAGCCATTATGTGCTCCCTATTGTACAATACTCCCAGGCCTGCAGGAATGCAGCAGACCCTTTTTATTGTGAATAATAATGACATATTTTTCTTTATATTGTTTTATTTCTTTACATTGATGTGAGGAAGACAAAGTAGCTTAGTAAAAGTAATAAAATCAGTACAATCACTAACGTTCATTTGGATATATTATTTTGTAGTATAGATGAAGATTACTAATTTCATTCTTCTCAGAGGGTGCTGCTCTTTAATGAAAAGAAAAATTATAGCTTATGGTGTTTTTTTCCTACTTTGCTTTCTATAACCAATCAGTGTTTTAATGTTTGTGTATCTTATAAGATTCAAATGTGATTTGTTATTGAATTCTGTTTCCAATATCAGTATGTATATAAACATGATAGTATAGTCTTTTTTTCATACATGAGTTTAAATAAAATAGTATTTTTAAAAATATAGTTTGAGCACCATATAGATATTTGTTTTTTCAGACTTTTCCCCAAAGTGTAAATAACATAATTAATTCACTCATTCAACTACACAAATAAGTTTTGAACGTTTTTTTCAGGTATTGATCTTAAGATTGTTTTACCAAGTGTAAACTGTCAATTAGAAAACAAATCTCATCTGTGAGCCTAATATCTCCTTGAAATAAGTATCACAGTTCTAGTATATGACCTTTTTAGGTTCAGAAGGAATGCAGTACATCTTTCAGGTTGTTAATTTCCTTCTAGGTTCTTTGACAGTTTGTCACTAGTGTAATTCAGTACATATACTTTGAGCACCTCCTATGTGCCAGTCCTCAGCGCTTCCACACTGCACAGTTCTAAGAAGCATTATTCATACCATATTTCTCTACCCTGGAGGTTGACTTTCATAATGGAATGTTTTTGAATGCAGTCCCTAAAATTATGTAGTGAAGCATTCAGGCAAGCAGTGTGCTGCTTTTCCTTCCTCTTCCTTTCCAACACAAATGAGATTAACTTGTGATATCCTCCTTTAAAGAAATTATTGTTTGGTAAAGGAAACAGGTATAGAATATGTTGTAATAAAGCCGTATAGATGGTATTGTAGAATCACAAAACAGGAATACTTAAAATGGACTAGAGGGCTAGGGATGTAGCTCAGTGGTAGAGTTCTTGCCTAGCATGTTCAAGGCCCTGAGTTCAGTCTCTAGCACTTCAAAAATAAAATGGACAAAAACTATGCTTTACAAAAAAAGTAATAGCAACCAGATAGATAGGCTTTTTGTTTGTTTATTTTGGGGGAGTACTAGGGATTGAACTTGGGGGCACTCAACCACTAAGCCACATCCTCAGCCCTGTTTTGTATTTTATTTAGAGACAGGGTCTCACTGAGTTGCTTAGTGAGACCTCGGTTGCCATTACTGAGGCTGGCTTTGAACTTGCAATCATCCTGCCTCAGCCTCCCAAGCCACTGATATTACAGACATGCGCCAACAGCCAGATAGTGTTTTCTCTGTAGGAAACTATAAGTAGTTTAATTGTTACTACCTAATTAAACATTAGAAAAGCACATTAAAATATAGAATTTCCATTATCTAAATCATTATCTAATAATGTCTTGATGATGAAATGGTATATGAAGCAGTGTTTTAGAAATGAGGTGGCCCAATTTTAATTTGAGGGTAATAAATTTAAAACTCCAGGAAAACTAATAAATGTAGTAAATCTTTTCATGTTACCACTGCTTCTATTCTATTTGAGAGGGTATAATTAATAAGTTAGTCTACAGTTTGGTGAAAATCCCCGAGTTTTTTGAAAAAGTAACATGAAACTAGGTTATTTTGTTAAGAGAAGGAAATAAAAGGAATAAAAATAGAAAAGGAAGAAGTCAAATTCTCACTGTTTGCTGATGATATGATCCTACACTTAGAAGATCCAAAAAACTCCACCAAAAGACTACTAGAGCTAATAAATTCAGCAAAGTAATAGATTATAAAATTAACACATAAATCAGTAAACTTCCTATATCCAAAAATAAATCTGCTAAGGAAGAAATCAGGGAACCAATCCCATTCACAATGTGCCCCCCCCCAAAAAAAAAAAAATCCTAGGAATAATCTAATGAAGGCAGTGAAACACCTCTCCATTGAAAACTATAGAATATTGAAGAAAGAAAGACCTCCCTAGTTCATGAATAGGAAAAATTAATACTGTTAAAATGGCCACAGTACCAAAAGCAATATACAGATTCACTGCAGTCCCCATCAAAATACCAGTGACATTCTTCACAGAACTAGAAAAAAATTGGTCCTTGAATTTATTTGGAAGAATAAGACCCAGAATAGCCAAGCAATTCTTAAGTCAAAGAGCAATGCTGGAACCATCACAATACCTAACTTAACATTAGTAAAGATCTATAGTAACAAAAACTTCAAAGAACTTGTATAAAACAAATGGTAGACCAATGATACAGAGTAGAAGACACAAAGGCACTATAGTCATCTGATCTTTGACAAAGTTGCCAAAAACACTGGAGAAGTGACAGCCATTTTAACAAATGCTGCTGGGAAAACTGGGTGGCCATATATAGAAGAATGAGACTAGACCCTTATCTCATAGCCTGCACAAAAATCAACTTAAAGGTACAGGAATTAAACCAGAAACTATGCAATTGCTAGGAGAAAGCATAATGTCAACACTTCAACATAGGAGCATAGGCACCAACTTTTCTCTAATGGGACCCCAAAAGCTCAGGAAATGGTATGGCATCAAATTAAAAAGCTTCTGCACAGAAGAAATAAGAATGTGAAGAGAGGATTTACAGAATTGGAAAAGATCTTGGCTAGCTACTCTTCTGACAGAGGATTAATATCTAGAATACATAAAGAACTCGACACCAAAAAAATCCCCAATTAATAAATGGGCAAATGAATTAAACAGACGCTTCTCAAAAGAAAAAATATAGATGGCAAGTACATGGAAAAATGTTCAACATCATTAGCAATTAGGGAAATGCAAATCAAATTTACACTGAGATTTCATCTCATTTCAGTCAGTATTGCGGTCATCAAGAATACAAACAATAATAAATGCTGGGGAAGATATAGAGAAAAAGGAACATTTTTACACTGTTAGGATTGTAAATTAGTACAAACACTATGGAAATCAGTATGGAGGTTCTTCAAAACACTAGGCATGGAACCACCATATAAACCAGCTATACCTCTTCTTAGTATCAATCCTAAAGAATTTTCCAGGTGTGGTGGTGCATGCCTGTAATACCAGCAGCACTGGAGGCTGAGACAGGAAAATCAGGAGTTTAAATCCAGCCTCAGCAACGTTGAAGCACTAAGCAACTCAGTGAAAACCTGTCTCTAAATAAAACACAAAATATGGCTGGGGATGTGGCTCAGTGGTTCAGTGCCCCTGAGTTCAAAACCCCAGGAACCTCCCCACCGCCCCCCCAAAATCATCATATTATAGTGATACGTGCATACCCATGTTTATAGCAGCACTGTTCACAATAACCAAACTATGGAACCAGCCTAGATATCCACCAACAGATGAATGGATAAAGAAAATGTGCTTTATATACACAGTGGAGTTTTATTCAGCCATAAGGAAAAAATGAAATTATGTCATTTGCAGGAAAATGGAGGGAACTTGAGAACATTATGTTAAGCAAAATAAGCCAAACTCAGAAGGTCAGGTGTAATATGGTTTCCCTCATATGTGGAAGCTAGAGATGAAAAAGGAAAGGAAAATGTAGAGGTGATCACATGAAAACCAAAGGGCTATCAGAATAGAGGAAGGGAACCAAGGGGAGAGAATGGGGATGTGCTAGGGAGGGCTGTTGGCCAAAGTATACTGTGCACATGTACTAATATGTAAAAACAAATCCCGTCATTATGTACAACGATAATGCACAAATAAGTGGAGGAGAAAAAAGCTAGATTATTTTTAGAAGGCAGTATGAAACTAGTTGCATGGTATAAAACTAGGTAGATCAATGGAATGAACTAATCCCAAAACAATTTTCCTAAAATTTTGTAAAGGACTGAAAACATTATAAAGATGGCATCATAAATTAATGGGAAGGAATTATTCATTAAGTGTGACAGATTTTTTTGTGTCTTGCTAGTAGAAGTAACACAATCTTTGGTCCAGCTATTCTATTTCCAGCAATTTGTCCTACCAATGCATATAGAGGTGTGAGATTACATATTTATAAGCCTAGACTTTGCAACTTGATACTGTCAAAGGTTGGAAGCTACCTAAATATCTACCCTTGATAGGATAATGGCAAATTCTGGTTTTTTGAACAACACCAATTTATATGTACTTTTGTTTCTGGCATAATTGTTTATGGTGCTCTTTTCACTCTCAAATCTCCCACTGTAGGTAGAGGTTTGGTGAAATAAATTGCTACATTTTTCCCAATGGAGAAAGAAATAAGGAAGTGCTTCAGGTATTGAAATGAAATGATCTCCAAGGCATAATGTTCATTGAAAAAAGCATGGTTTGAAACTGACATGATAAAATGTGTATGAAGAAAAATATATGTGTATATTCATAAGTTGTTTATGATAGATGATTTGTATATTTAGATAATCTCCAAAGAGGTGCATGAAAGAAAGAATTAGTGGAAGATTACCTGGTTATCTGTTCAGGAGTGAGCCTTTTCACTGTAAACTTCATTGTACTTTTTGAATTTTTAACTATTCAAAAATAATAAAAATAAATTAATAAAAATATTTCGGCAAGAAACAAAATTATGAGATAATTTGGGAAGAAAATTGTATTAGGGTCCTTTAAAGAAGTGGAACCAGTTAGAATATATATTTATCCTGTTTATTTCAAGGAATGGTTTATATATTTGTGAGGACTGGCAAGTCCAATTGTCTAACACGTTGGAAGTCTGAAAATTTTAGGCAAGACCTGCTACTGTGGTTTTGAAGTACAATTTTTTCCTCCTGGAAACCTCAGTTTTGCTCTTATGGCCATTTAACTGATTGGAGGAGTCCTCCCCACATTATGGAGAATAATCTCTTTGACTTAAATTCAAGAGATTGTAGTTAGTAAGCACATCTTACTAACCTTCATAATCACAAAATACCTTCATAATCACATTTAGATTCATGTTTGATTGAATAATAACAGTTTATCCTTGCTGTTATAGTTTGGATGTGAATTGTCCCCCAAAAGCTAAAGTTGGAGACAGTGCAAGAAGGTTTAGGGGAGAAATGACTGGATTATGAGAGCCTCAATCCAATCAATGAATTAGTCCCCTGATGGGAATTAACTGAGTGGTAACTGAAGGCTGGTAGGGTGTGGCTGGAGGATGTGAGTCCCTGGGGGCATGGTCTCAGGGTATAAATTTTGTATCTGGTGACTGGAGTGTCTCTCTGTTCTCTGACCATCACGCGAGCTGCTTCCCTATGCCACTCTTCCATCTTGATGTTAAGCCGCACCTTGAGCCCTGAGGAATGGAGCTGGATGTCTATGGACTGAGACCTCTGAAACCATGAGCCCTCAAATAAATTTTTCCTCCATTACAATTGTGCTGGTGGAGTCTTTTATTCACAGCGGCAAAAAAGTTGACTAAAGCACTTGCCAAGTTGGCACATCAAACAACCTTCAGAGTCCACTCCTAGTTATCTTGGCATCTGTATGCATCTCAAACCATATTTTAACTTCAAAATAAAAATAATAACTAAATCATATTTCTAACCTGATACAACTATTCTACATACAACCAAGAATATGCAACCATTCCCCAAAGGAAGATGTGAGGTTCATGGGTGATGCTCACTTTTCTCCTTGCTATTCTGTGTTGTAAGGTCAACTGCTATTAGTACATTTTATGTAAGATTATAAAAAAATATGAGCAGGGGGTGCATGCCTGTAATCCCAGCACCTTGGGAGGCAGGAGGATCTTGAGTTCAAAGCCAGCCTCAGCAAATTAGCCAGGCACTTGGCAACTCAGTGAGACTTTGTCTTGAAATAAAATGTATTTAAAAAGGGTTGGGGAGAGAACTGGGGATGTGGCTCAGTGGTTAAGCAATACCTGGTACCAGGAAAAAAAAAAAAAAAAAAGTTATAATAAGAGGATATGGGAGAGAAGAAAAAAAGATAGCCTATATGTATGTGTATGTTACACAAACAGAAAAAAAAAAAAAAAAAAAAAGGAGCACATATGTAATCACAGTCCTAGTTCTGCCAACTGGACATGGTTTTGGCTGGTGATTGTAGCTACCTTTCATGACCTACTCCATATTCCCTTTGTTCTCAATAAGCATGTTGCCTGTTGTTGCCTCTGCCTGGTGGGCTAATCCAAATCTTTACTCCTAAATAATCTGAGCCATTAGATGTCCTTCCTGAATTCGGTTTTGTAAGTTTTCATTATTTTAATCATAGGGGTTGATGGTACTAAGGTTCCCTTGGCAGAGCTTCTGTATTCCAGACTTACTTTTTTTTTTTTTTTAACTTCCTTTGTGCAGTAACAGCCAAATTTCCCCTAATACTAAGGACACTGACCCCTGCCATTACAGTAATTGCTTTCTTTATCTGTTGATTCAGAAACAAGGAGCCTAAATTGTTAGAGTGGCAGCCCATCCAGTTTAATAGAATCATTATTGTGTCTAGTGGAGGCATTCCTCTTCAAAGTCTTCTAGATCTGCAGAGTATAAGAACATGGGGACAGAAAGCAAAAAATTGTGTTAGTGGACACTAGGGATAATATTGAGAGGTGCTGCTTTCATTCCCACCCCTTGATTCCATAACTCTGCATCTTGGCTATGGAAAAATATTATTTACATGTAATTTAGACATATGTAGTATCAAGGCCATTCCACCGTGCTGTCAAGCCAGCTGCTTCAGGATGGTAAGACCATTGAATTCCATAAGCAAGATGAGAAATATGTTGTCTTCTAAATCCAAAAAATCCATTAGTATCGTGCCACATTTTTGGTTGTGGAGCAGTTGAATGTAAATTATTCTTGCTATTAAAAGAGAAACCCTGCTGGGCACTGTGGCTTGTTGTGTAAGCCCAGCTACTCAGGAGTCTGAGGCAGGAGGAATGTAAGTTCAAGGCCAGGTTGGGCAACTCAGCATGACCCTGTTCCAAATTAAAAATTTTTAAAGTGATTAGGAATGGTAGCTCAGTTGTATATTGCTTTCCTGGCATGTGAAGCCCTGGGTTCAATTCCTAGTACAAGGAAACAAAAAATCTTGACAGGCTCCATGCCATTGTACTCTCAGAAATTTCACTTAGTTGGAAAGCACCTGAATTCTTGTTGGATTTATTTCCCATGGTCTGAGACAAAAATATCTTTCCAAAGTGCTTATGGTTTTCGCTACTTCTTGTTTAGTTGGCATAATGTCATCAACGTAATGGAGCAGTGTAATGTCTAGTGGGAGGAAATGTGATCAAGGTCCTTGTGAACTAAATTGTAACATTTGGCTGCAGAACAGTGAAGATGTGTCAGTCTTACCAGCTGAAAGCTAACTCTTTCTAGTATTTACTAACAGATATTGAGGGAAAAAAATTATTTTTGTGAGATCAATAGCCGCATACTAGGCCAACGGGTGTGTTAACTTGCTCAAGCAGTGAAATCATGTCTGTAACAGCAGCTGCAATTAGAGTCACCACTGGGGTAAGTTTATGTGTTTTATGCATTGGACAAATTGGTGGGCTGAATGGGGTTGTGGAAGGAATCACCACCTCTACCCCATCTTTGATGGTGGCACTAATTTTTAAAGTCCCTCCAGGAATGTGGTATTACTTTTGTTTATTATTTTCTCAGGCAGAGGTAGTTCTAATGTTTTCCAATTGGCCTTTCTTGCTATAATAGCCCTCATTTCACAAGTCAAGGAATCAATGGGGGACCTTACCAGTTGTTGAGTATGTCTATGACAAGCATGTATCTGGACTAAGAAAATAACCACAAGATAAGTTTACGGACCCCCTTATGCCCACTTCTCTGTCTCCATTCTTGTTTTTTCACCCCTGTGGAAAATCCAGTTCCTCTCAAATGCATTTCAGATATTTCCAGGGGTACCCATACAACCCTTCTCATGTACTCTTTTTTTTGGAAAATATATTAATTTAGACATTTAGGAATTGAACCCAGGGCTGATTTGCCATTGAGCCACATCTTCAGCCCTTTTTATATTTTTGAGACAGGGTCTCACTTAGTTGCTTGGGGCCTTGCTAAGTTGCTGAGGCTATCTTTGAACTTGTGATCCTCCTGCCTCAGCCTCAAGAGCTGCTGGGATTACAGGCCTTTGCTACCACACCTGGCTACACATGTACTCTTAAAACACGTGGCATCTGCCAATTTACTTTGCTTTGTTCCCACCCTTTGGGATAAGCTATGCCCCTCAACCCTGGTCATTGCTGCTACTTCTGCCTGAGGGTGTGAGTACCCTCAGAGGCTGCTGGATCCTACAACGAAGGCCAAAGATGTTGTCTTACTCTAAATATGATAGAACTTCCATCTCAACATCTCTCCCCTGGTGACTTGAGTCAAACACCTCCTTTAGGTTTGCAGAGGAAGGCCCAAGTAACAGGCAAGGATGTGTTTAGAATCACCATCCCCCTATAATGATACCCATATTCCATTAACCAAACATTTGCACCCCAGGCCTCTTTACCTTTAGGTGGATTCTTTTCTCAAAAAGACTCATTTTCTTTCACCTGCTAGTTACTTAGACCTGTGCTACTCAAAATGTGCTCAACAGATGGGGCATTCTGCACACTATTTACAAGATAAGTACAGAAATTGGGAGTGAGTGCTTTAAAAACTTAACCAATTTGACATAGTAAATTTATGTCTCTTGAATCTGATAACAAAATTTGGGTTTGTGATATTTATGCTTTTTATTTCACTTTTCTAGTCATTTTTAATTGAATTTTACAAAATCTCTATGATAGATTCCAAATTTTAAAAAATAAAAATCTGGTCCTCCCCTACAGATGGTTTTGAAATCATGGCCAGGCAGCCAAATCTGTAGTGAGCAGAGCATTGGCCCACACATGACACTCTGTAGGCACTATAGCACCCTTGATTGGGAAGAGTTTGGTAAAAACATGGGTCTACTCTGCAACCAATCAGAGGTGGAGGGGAAGAGAAGTAGGACTGATGTTCACTAGAATAATTCTTTTGCTGTCTGCCTGAAGTGGGACACAAGCCTAATTCCATGACCTGCACACCCATCTCATTCTCTTGCATGCCACAGGGTGGAGGAAGATGATCCTGCTCCACTGAGTGTCCTGATAGCCAGTGATTCTGGAATGGGGCTGCTTTCCCTCAGAAACAGTACTGGACTTTCCATCCAAGGGGGTGACTCTACTGCTCCAGAGGGAACTTTGCTCTTGTGTACCAAGATCTCCCAGAGGGAATTCTGAGAGTAACTGCTAATGCTTTGACAGTGTCCTGGGGCACTTCATTTTAGATAAGCACATACCATTAGCAGATGGAGCCTCATATGGGCACCTCACTCACTGTTCTCCATATCCCCCTGCTCTGATCTGCCATTGGCACAAACATCTTCCCCGGTTTTAGATTTGGAGAAATAGCTGAGGGCCCCTCACCCGGCTCCTCTCAGGAGTTGGAAGTGCAGCCTCTTTAGGAAGTTAAAATTTCACTTCAGACCTCTTATTCTACTCTGCAACAGCGGTATAATACATTATTATATATTTCAAGTAGACTTAGTGTTACTCCCATAACAGGCAACAGAAGTTGTTCTTTAATAAGGCCCAGAGCGCATATAGGTTAACCCCATACAGCTTATTCTAGGGAAGGGATTGTTATAACACTTTGAGAAATCTCTTCCAGATCATTTGGAGAAATATCAGATAAAGATAACCCATTTAGGAGACTGCAGAGAAGAATCTTACCTGGTCCTAAGTGCTTAGTGGATATATGCGTTAACTCCCCATGTCAGAACCTACCACAAATGGTTTTGTTCCGATTGAAGCTTGCTTTCCATCAAATAGCTTTGTGTACCTCTCTTACAGTATTTATGTTATTTATCTCTATGCACTGTCACTACATATCTGTTTATTGTCCTGTCCATAATTTAACTAAGAATTCCTGAAGGAATGAAACTATTTCGTTTTTTTTCCTTTATGTTATTAGTGATTAAACCCAGAGATGCTTAACCCATAAGCCACATTCTCAGCCCTTTTTATTTTTTATTTCTTTATAATTATGAGACAGGATCTCACTAAGTTGCTGAAGCCCTCGCTAAGTTATTGAGGCTGGCTTTGAACTTGTGATTCTTCTGTGTCAGCCTTTTGAGTTGCTGGTATTATAGGCATACAGCATCACACCCAGCAGGACTGAAACTACTTCTTCAACTTCCAGTCTTTTGTGGCTCATAGTTTAACTTCAGTATAATTGCTTTGTGATATTCATCAATTGTATTTCTTTTAAATTTCAAAGACTAAAAATGTGCTACTACATGAACAGCAAAATTGTGCTTTTTATTTATTAAACAGAAACAAAGAATATAAATAAACATGGTATGTTTTACAAAAAGCAAAATCAATATTACCTACACAAAGCAACACCTTTGTTTTTAAGAAAACCATACATGAAATCATACAGGAGATGTATAGTATACATCTATAGATGTATATGAGAGTTATTTGATATTACTTTGCAAACTTGACATAATACATTTTAACTTGACATCTATTTTATCCCATATAATACAAACATATGAAATACATTAAAAACCTTGTTGAAACATACAATATGTACTGTAATTTCCAAGTCTTAAATGCTTAAATAATAGAGGGAACTTGGTTAACAAGGTATCCCTTGGGACTGCAAGAGCAGTGTTATATCATACCTTTGCACCATAAACTTCTGCCTCAAAAAGCAGGATCGATAAAGATATTAGAAAGAGTTAGAATCTGCTTATGAACTCTGGACACCAGCATTTCATTCTCACTTCAGTCTTCTTACTCTGCTTTGCAACAGCTGTGTAACACATTATTATATATTTCATGTAGATTTAGTGTTACTCCCTCAATTGGCAATAGAAGTTGCTCTTTAGTAAGGCCCAGGGGGCTTAGAAGTTAACCCTATATAGCTCATTATAGGAAAGGGACTGTTATAACACACTTTGAGAAATCTCTTCCAGATCATTTGGAGAAATGTCAGATAAAGATAACCCACTGCTTACATGTCCTCTATTATTATTATAAATAAAATAATAATTATTATGAACTACAAGTTATCTACCACTTTGTTACCCTTCCTCAATTTATGTGTTTTCACGCTTCAAAACATTTCCCCCAAAATGGTCAAGTGATGTTTTTAAATTGTATCTTCATGTACCTTTATTGTCCCACATAATTGCCCATAGGACATTTAGTTCTCATAGTTTTATCATTAGATGTGAAAGACACACTAGATTTCTAAGGCTTTTAAAAGAGAAAATAAAAACAATAAGCAGGTTCCATTTTAGTTTTGGAAACAGTTTTTGACTTTTGTATAAAGAACAAAAAAGCAAAAAACAACCTCTCCTTCAAAAAATCCTTGATGTCTGCTATCTCCATATACTTTATAAAGAAGCTGTCTAAGCTTTCCAAACATACGACTGTTTACTTCCTGCATAATAGCACAACTTCAAGGTCAGTGAGCTGACCTTGACCCAGAGTGGAACTCGACAACTCATGTCAGCAAGCATGGGGGCTACTTGGAGTAAAGACAAAAATCCCTTCATCTTGCATTATGTGTTCTGAGAGTGAGCAGACCTGGAGGTGGGGGTCCATTGATTTCTCTCAGAACAATTGCTTCAGTGTGCTGGACATGGCGACATCTTGGAACGGCAGCAGTTTCCCAAGAGTCTGTGAACGTGGTATATGGGTCCTGGTCAGTATCTGCTTTTGATTTGCTTTTGAAGAAAAATCCTTGGTCAGCTTTCATCTGAATCCTGCTATGTATCACAGTACCAGGGAGCATTCCACCTTGCTCAGGGCCAAGGCCACTCTTTGGTGAGAAAGATCTATTTAAAGATGAATGACTGAGATCGGATTGTGCTTTCCTCTCGATTGAGCTGTTTTCTGATTTGTGACTGAAATAAAACACATGTGTATCTATTATAAAGTGATATCAAGAGTAATCTCTAAAATATTAAATAAGACATGCTGATTAGTAAAGAAGTCTCGCAACTATAAATTGTCACGCCCCACTCCCTGCGTTAATCTGGTTTTCTGTATTTTTCCCAGGAGACATTTATAAAGCAGTTGCTAGAAAGTACAATTTTGGAATTAGTCTAATGCTTACAATAATCTATAAAATGCAACACTATTCAATGAATCAAAAAGGATGATAAGAATCTAAAATTGTTGATATGGAAAGATGCTTATAATATATTGCTAAGTAGAATGAGTAAATAATACCAGAGAAAGGTTAAATTTTGTTTTTAAATATTTGCACAGGGAGAAATCTGAAAGTGTGCATTTGATATATTTTTACTTTGTTTATAATGATTATGTGTCACTTGGATAGGAAAGGGAAGAGATTAATTCATATCTGAACAAAGGTTTCATAAGGCAAAGTATTTCCTCACTGAATATCAAATACATCAGAACAATCTCAAAATAAGTGGCATATTACTTTAGATTTCAAACTGAAAAAATTACCAAGAGCAGAAATCCCAGTATCTAGAAAGGCCTATCCAACAAGATTCTCAGATATGAGAAAACACCTATCAGATGATTTTTTTTGGGGGGGTGGGGCGGTACCCAGAGATTGAACTCAGGGACACTCAACCACGGAGCCACATCCCCAGCCCTATTTTTTGTATTTTATTTAGAGACAGGGTCTCACTGAGTTGCTTAGCACCTCACCATTGCTGAGGCTGGCTTTGAACTCATGATCCTCCTGCCTCAGCCTACCAAGCCTTACAGGTGTGTGCCACAGTACCAGGCCTATCAAATAATTTCACACACATAAATAATAATTAGGAAACAAGTGTTTCATTTTTTAAAACATCAAAGATTTTAATTGGTATGCTGTAGGTTGTTATGTTTAAGTGTGTCCCTAAAAGATCTATATGAAAAGGCTTAGTCCCCAGGGTGGCAATATTAAGAAGTGATGGAACCTTTAAGAGGTGGGGCTTAGTGGGAGGCTTGTGGGTCAGGAGTGCGCTGCCCTTGGAAGGAAATACTGGTTGCCTGGAGTGAATTTTCACAAAAGCAAGTTGATATAAATGTCTGAGCCTGGCTGACCTTTGTCACTCTTTGACTTCCTTTTTGGCAATCTGATTTTTCTTTTTCTTCATAAGTAATTGCCTAAAGTATTTTGCTATAACAAAAAAAAAGTGGATTCCTACATGGTAGTTATAGGAAAATTTCTGACCATTTAGAAGACTTTTTAGCTAGAGAAATAAGTCAGCTTTCCTCTATGAGCATTCTGGTCACAGATGCCCTCCTCCTGACAAACCTGGACTAATCTGGCAAAGTGACAGATGCTGGGGCACTAGGGAAGGCTCTAGGGCTGAGATTCAAATAAGTTCTTTCTTTTTACAATCATGTCTCCATCTTTTTTTCTGTCCCCCAGAGAAGAAACAGACTATTCCATAAGCCTGCAAATGACATCCCTTAGATTCTTGGGAATAGTCTGACTCAACAGAAATACGTTTGAAATCCTCAACATAATTTCTCGGGACTGAACACTTAAACACTTTTTATAACTCACCAATTTCCACCGTAATATTTTGATCCATTCATCCGCTTCTACTCCTGTCTTTGCACAGAGATAAAATGTCCTGAATGGAAATACTAAGCTGATAAGACAAAATAAAGAATGTTAGCTACTCCAGGTGGTAGGTTGAACATGTATTAGTGGAACACCAATTAGAATATTCCAAGAGAAAAAAGAATCGATAAAGGACCTGAGTAAGAAGTAACTTGAAGAACTAGTATAGACAGAGCTATAGCTGCCAACAAACTGCAGAAACATGTAGGAAGTTGTAGATCCCTATTATCATTACAGGCAAGGTTTATATTCTCTAATGAGACTTCAAAAAAGAAAAAAACTATGTCCAGGCTGCCCCAGTTCCTTCACTATACATATCTTGAATTGAACACACAGTACAGGCTTATATATAACACTTATGTGTCAACTGGGTTCTTAGATGATTCAGAACCTGTGATATGATTCAAAGAATATGCAGGACAGATGAGAGTTTGTGGAAAGAACTCATTTGTGGTATCTAGCTTTAATGAGGAAAACCCCGTCTTCAGTGGATGTAGGCAGTTATTTAGGAGAGGAAAAGAGACAATATAGCTCCTCAACTAGCCCATTTCTGACCCTGAGTTAATACTGGAAGGAAGATAAAATTTCCTACTGACACAGAGGACTATTTCTAAATATGTAGTAATTCATCATTTGATTGTCTTTGATTATACAGTCAAAATCACTGGCATGATAAGGGCTAGCCCTAACTTATATCTTGCCCATCCTTCCTGAACATTCAGTCTAGATGAAAAATACTAAGATCGTTTGTGAAAAAAAGGCTTGAACTAAAATTCAGAAGGTCTCTATTATTCTATAGCCCGACTAACATATTTTGACACCAATAATTAATGCTGAGTAGTAAGAGTCTGTGTGTAGAAGGCAAAACCTTATGTGAGATTCAGTTGAGGAGTGAGTAGACAATGCAGGGGGAGGGGTGATACTGGTATTGTACACACTCTGTGAAACTGATTTCTAGAATTGTCATTGATACTCTTTGTGGGAGACCCTTAGGTATCCATTAATACAGATAATTTTCTTCTTGCTAACAGAACCCCAGGCAATGAATCCTAATTGGTCAATTATGATTATGCTCTCACTTTCCTAGCCTTCCCTGATGCTAGGGATGATGATGATGATGGCCCCATTGTGGCCAGTGAATTATAAGGGGAAGTCTATAGGGAACTTTCTGGAGAAAGATTGGCTTTCCTGGTACAAAGGGACAGATGTAGCCTTACATCATTCCTACATCTTTCTTCAGATCTATGAAAACAAGTGGCCTAAATTTGGAGTAGCCATTTGGCTCTGAAGTAGCCATCATGAGGAAAGGCCAAGAAAACTGCAAAGACACTGGACTTGGCCTTGCTGTGGAAGCTGCCTGCTTCTCCATTTCCTGTTACATGAGAAAAATAAAACTGCTAGCTCATATGACACCTTTATGCAATTTTTAAAAAAGATATCTATTGCTGGTTGATATTATAGAATTACCATGAGTTTTGTCAGGTGTGATAATGACATTATGGTTCTGCAGATAACATGTTTATTCTCAGAAGATACATACTTAAGCTTTTAGCCATGATGTTTACAATTGGTTCAGGAAAAAAAAGTGATAAATATAACAAAACATTGATGAATCTAGGTAAAGAGTATACATGTCTTCCAACTTAAGTATACACGAACAATTTGAAGATATAAATTGGTAAAAATTAAGACACTCCTTTCTCAAGATACTTTATTTCTTCCAGTTAGAAAAAGTTCATAATATGCTAATATTTGAACAAAATACTTTTGTGCAATTGCCATAAATTGTAATAATAATATAAGTTGCCCATCATTGGAGTCAACAAAATTATAATTAAAATTTTGGAGGAAAACCTGAAAGAAAGAAAGCTAAGTCGTGAATAGCCAGGTGTGCCTATAATATAGGGAGGGTGAGGCTGAATCAGGAAGAATGCAAGTTTGAGGCCAGTTTGGGTAATTTAGCAAAAATTCTATCTCAAAATTTAAAAAAGGGTTGAAGGTATAGATCACTGGTGGAGTGCTTGCCTAGTTAATGCATGTTATTAGGTCCTGGATTTAATCCCCAGTACAAACAAACAAAAAGATGTGAATGTTCACAATGCAGAATTTATATCATATATGTTATAGCACACAGCCAAACCCAGGCCACTTGCCAATTTGTGTGTGTGTGTGTGGGGGGGGGGGGTGTCAAGGTTGAACTCAGGGGTATTTGACCTCTGAGCCACATCCCCAGTCCTATTTTGTATTTTAAAGACAGGGTCTCACTGAATTGCTTAGCATTTTGCTTTTGCTGAGGCTGGCTTTGAACTCGCGATCCTCTTGTCTCAGCCTCCAGAGCCGCTGGGATAAAAGGCATGCACCATGGCGCCTGGCTCTGCCAATTTGTTTAGACCTCTTTACGTGAGGTAATATTTTACACACAGCTGAAAAAAGGCCTAACATGTATGCACTGTGTGATGGTGAATCCACATCCCTCAGTTCCACACGTAAGGAGACATTAAGTCATACAGCTTTTTATTCCTGAGCTAAAATAAGTGTCTGAAAAGAAGACTTTTAAAAACATTTCCTTTATAAAAAGAAAAGAAAGAAAAACCAACTTACCAAAAACAGTTTACCCTTTCCTGTGAATAATCAAATTGAACAGCTGAACATTCCCTTAGGTCTAGGATCCGAATTGGCTCTGGAGACTTAAAAAATAAAACAGAAAGAGCAACCTACATCATCATAAAAATAATCACATCAATCCATCCATCATTTATCATCTAATCAGACTTATTAGAATAATATGTACTACATGTTTGTATACATATATCATGTATAACTAAAAAGAACAAATTTTTAAAAAAAGAGTTCCACCAGGTACAACTGTCAGTTTTTTTTTCTCTAAGAGGACTGATATATATATATATATATATGGAAAAGACTTTTGAAGTAAAGTTACCCACCTCTGGTTTTAGAATTAGCCTTTCATGAAGGTAAGCATTAAGAAGAAAGACATTGCCTCTATCAACTTACATTTGATAGAGATGGATTTTTACCCATGGAAGGGAGTGTTATTTTTCTCTCTTTTAAAACTTCTACTTTCTCAGAATTTTTTTATAAAGAAAGTGAGAAGAAATAAAATAATCTTAAATTAGCATAATAAAATGGGCATGGGAATGGACATATTTTAATAAACAGAGAAATCTCTGGAGAGTGATAGTTAACAAATTGTAGCAAAAGAAAAATTCTGTTACCCTACACAGAAGGAATTATGTGCCCTAGAGAACAATAGTTCAGCCAGGGCAATAGGGCAACTCTGGGATACACATCTTGTCTTTGCAAAAGAACTCTACTCATATCAGGAATCAGGAACTCATCTCCAATCATTTATTGTTTCAGGTGGACAGAAGGAGAATTTCAGGGATTTTTAGAGGCAGATGTTCCTTTTATCTAGAGAGTTGGTTTTTAAAGAAAAATATATTATGTTTCTCACCATCTGGTCTTTGAAGTATTTCAGTTCATTTCTGTGCAAAGTGAACCATCTTGTTTTCCAGGTCTGAGGAAAAAAAAATTAAGACTTATAGGTTTTGAGTACAGGAATGCAATATCTGAACTAGATAGTTTACTTTTAGTTTTGAAGTATCTAGAAGATTAGATAAAAATAAGTCTGAAAATTATTGTATGACTGAGAAAATATTTTCAAAATATCTAATACATAATTAAAATTGATTCCATGCATTAAGTTCATAAAGACGGCAGGGAAATTATTAGCCTATTTAAACAAAAAAAGATGTAGCCTCTCATAAATATTCAAGATGATTATAACAAACAACTAAAATTTCTATATTATTAACTTTTATAATAGAAATAGATAACATTTTTGAGCACTTTCTGTGAAATACATACTATTCTTTTTTTAATATTTATTTTTTAGTTGTAGTTGGACACAGTAACTTTATTTTATTTATTTACTTTTATGTGGTGCTGAGGATTGAACTCAACATGTACTTACATTAAATATTATATACTTTTTTGGGGGGAGGGTGCTGGGGATTAAACCCAGGGCCTTGTGCATGCAAAGCAAGCACTTGACTGAGGTATATCCCCAGCCCTAAATATTATATACTGTTTATACATATATTAAATATATTTAATTACATATGTATATATGTGTACATATATACATATAGATGTATATGTTTGTGTGTGTGTACACAATCCTCATTTAAGAGACAATCCACATATAACAATGCCAAATATTATTTTTGTCTTACAAATAAGCCAATTAAGGTTTGGAAAACTCAAACCACATGACAATATAAATCTTGCCTAAGAATTCTATGGCAAAACTGTTGCTGCCACTGTCACCTTCTTCGTATACCAGAATCCTTATACATTCTGGGTGGCAATGTAACTAGTTAAAAGAAATAACAGGATTTAAGAATAAATATGCTCAAACGTGAATATCCCCAGTCTTCAGGAAGCATCCAACCTAGTAGGGACACAACCAAATGTTTAGGTTGGATTCAAGCAAACCAGTACCCCTGAAAAAAGAGGCTAAGTGTCCCTACTCTGCATATAGGAAGGAGCAGATGCAGTCCCTTCATGAAGGTCTCTGTGATGCACTAACATGAGATAGAAGACAATCAATGTTAGGGTCTGTAAACAAGTCAGGATAGCGCCTGGCATTTTGCCAGAGGGAGTGGTTTGTGAAGTAATGCCAGCGAGCCATTAAGTGTGGAGATTCCTTATTGGTTGACTGCTGTATCTAGTTTATGTTAATTAGATAAGCTGTGTGGAATGTATAAATACCCCTCCTGTCCTACAATAAACGGCTCCCACTCCTGCTGTATCAACGTACACAAGTTGTTCGTCACCCCCTGGTTATTTTGCTGCAGCCGGACTGTGGCAAATCACATAAATGGGGGACAGTTGCATACAATAGACTTATAAAGCTCTAAATTATGTTTTCTTTGGGATTTTAAAATAGTTTTATTATCGTCAGTGATGTTTTGGGCCTACCTTTAGTCCACATTTCATATAATTTTGACTTCTTTGTTAGAAAAAAAGGAAAGAACAGAAGCATTCTGCCTTATCATACCACCTTTATCCTCTCTCATTCCATTAAAAGGATAACATGGCTTCTGGTGTATTCATTGTAGAAAACCAATGTAAGGCTTTCTAAAAGAATAAGCAAGTATTTTTCCAGAATTTTGACTAATCAGTCATAAAAGTGAACTCTTTCAAATAGGTAAAACTATAAGTGGGTCAAAATGAGTTGGCAATTATGCTGTTTAAAAAAGGACTGTCAAAATGAGAATTGAGTCTGTGAGACATGTTCTCCTTCTTTGTGGCTGGCATGAGCAAAAAACGCACTTCCTTACCTTGACGAGGCCCCCCTGTTTGGTGAGGTAGCCTTCTTTGGTACCCAACTGAAAAAGAAAGAAGCACTAAGTGAAGTGCAGAACAGTCACAGCATGATGTCTGTCTCTCTATTACTGTCTTATTATGAATAAAGAACAAGTCTGCTTTTGATCCTTAAATGATGGTCTTTCATTCTTCACCAGGCACTTGAAAATCTTCCACATCCTGTCAGAGATTGTTTAGACTGGATCATTTGGTGTAATTTTATAGCAACAGACAAGTAGGGAAAGGCTCTCTGCTAACTGCAGCTAGCAATTTGCAAATAATAAACCACATCTTTTCACTTATAAAAGTCAGCGTTTGTGGAAGCGTGTTATGTGTAACCCAGCAGCTTGTACTGTTGCAGGAGAATTAGCACCTAAACACGCATATGCACATCGATGGTCAACCATAGTGGGCCCTCCTTATCCACCAGTTTCACATCCTCAGATTCAACCACAAATTGAATGTATTTGGAAAAAAAAATTGTACTGAACGTACACAGAATTTTTTCTTGTCATTATTCCCTACATAATACATTCTAACAACGATTTACATAGTGTTTATGTTGTATTCAATATTACTTCATCTAAGATGGTTTAAAGTCCATGGGAGGATGTGCATAAGTTATATGCAAATACTATGCCATTTTATATAAGAGACTTGGGTATCTGAGGATATTTGTATCCATGGAGATCATGAAACCCTTCCCCACAGGTACAGAGAAATGACTGCATTTTTTGGAAACTGGATTAAGAAAAGTAAAAGGATTTATTTACTTTGGGGTTTCCCAGGGTGTGCATTATATTAATATGCTTTGTAAATTTTAAAGAAGGAACCTCAGAAGTAGCATTTCCAACATTTATTTTATCACATATTCTTTCCATCTCCACATTTCCCTACTTTCTCCAAAACATTTTTTTTTTTTTATACCAGGGATCAAACCCCCAGGGGCATGTAATCATTGAGCCAAGCCTTTATTATTATTATTATTTTGAGATAAGGTCTCACTAAATTGCTCAGGCTGACTATTTTTTAATATTTATTTTTCAGTTTTCGGTGGACACAACATCTTTATTTTATTTTATTTTAATGTGGTGCTGAGGATCGAACCCAGGGCCCCACGTATGCCAGGTGAGCGCGCTACTGCTTGAGCCACATCCCCAGCCCACTCAGGCTCACTTTAAACTTGTGATCCTCCTGCCTCAGCCTCCCAAGCCACTGGGATTACAGACATGTACATCTGTGCATGGCTGCAAACCATTTCTTAAGGCTCATATCTATGGAATAGATATTCAGGAGTGCAGATTTATTCATACCTGATTTATTCAAAAGGGATTTGAAGTGGGAATGAGTCGTTTCCTTTAACTCACATACTACTAAATCAATACCAAATGTTACCTAGAACTTATGAAATATAATGAACAATCAGGGACTGCATGAATAGATATCTGCATGAGACAAGGAACCTTAAATCAAGAAATTAATTCATAAATTCCTGATGAAACTAGATTTCTCATAGGATGTTTTGTCTAATATGATCTTATGTTAGAGTGCTCGCCTAGCACAGGTGGGACCCGGGTTCAATTCTCAGCAACACATAAAAATAAAGGCATTGTGTTGTGTCCATCTACACCTAAAAAATAAATATTAAAAAAGAGTTTTTTTAAACAAAACAAAACAAAAACTGGGAAATGACTAGGTTGATGTCAAGGTTCTTTTTATGGGAGTTTCCAGACTATTTTTTTCCTGAGATGAATTTTGCCTACCAAATAAAAAGAGGAACAATTACCAACCACAGTACAAAGAATTAAAACAAGAAATAATATCCAGTGACTTTTAAAAGTGCTGTGGCATAAAAGTAAGGATGGACTTCCCAGGTGTTCATTTAAACAATGCTAAACAATATAGATGAATTTGATATCATATAATCAATATTATTTATTTTGATGTTAAGGGAATTGATCCAATTGAATTGAGTTTAGGTATATAGAGCAATGGCAAAAATTACCATTTGGGGTGGTTGCAGGTTACTCTCTATAGAATTAAAATAATTAAGGGTAAATTGTTATGTAAAAGACCTTAATGTAATTATTCACTGATATCAAGCTAAGGAATAGTGCTGTTCACTTATCTCACCTCCACCCAAATAATATGCTATTAGTCTAGCATTTTTCTATGGTTTTGATAAATGGAAAACTACCAATTGAAGAGCTGAGAATATTAATTTTATTCCAGGGTCTCAGATTATAAGAAATGAAATAATTATATAGAAGATTTGTCTTTTAAAAAATTTATGATCTATAACAAAAAAGATGTTTATAAGAACATCTTTCCCAAGTTGGAAACAAGCTTAATGTTTAAAAATACAGGATCAGCCTTTCTGACTACCTTCTTTAAAAAGCCATGGGTTGGGGGTGGAGCAAGCAGGCAGTAGTGTGAGTGTGTGGTGGCACATGTGCACCTTCATGGAGGGTGGTAGAGCCCAGGCAGTGTACAGGGAATATTTTTGTGAATGATGGTGGTGATGGGTCAGCAGCAGCTTGGAGGGAAGTGTTAAAGCCCAGCAAGGTGAGGAGAGCTTCTGCTCAAAGTGGTGAAGGTGGTAGATGGTGCACAGTTTCAGAGACAAGTCATGGAGTGCATGTGCAGTGAGGGCAGGGATGGCATTGGCCTGGAACTGGGTGTTAGAGCCTGAGTTGGGTGAGCAGGGTGTCCAAGTAGGGTCATGGATGAAAAGAGCATCAATTGAAGATGGCTTCCATTCAGTTGATTATCATAGAAGTAAATGTATAGAGGATAATGGGGTCAATATTCCTCACTGTGGGACAAGGTTATTACAATATGAAAAAGGAAAAAACTAGAATGAGCTTCGTGGTACTGGATTAGGATTGAAGGTACTGTTATGAACCCATGGAAGGTGAGTGGATATATGGACAGATGAATAGATAGGTAGATATAGACCAAAAACAGTGCGTGTGGATTCATATGTAGATGCATGCATATTTTCCCTTTTCATTGAGTGGTTAGCAGAATGACACTGCAATGAAAATAAGCAAATACTGCTCAAATGTTGATTTCTAAAGCACCACTTTGCAGAAAAAGGAGCAAGTTTTTTTTTTCTTTCTTTTTTATTGAGAATTAGCTGGTTCCAGAGCTGGGAACAAGGAAAATATAAGTCTGGAATATCCTGCTGTATCAGAAAGTTATAAAAGCATTTTGAGACCATATGAACACAGAAGTCATCTTGAAAGACTGGGAAAATTTAAAGGATCAAAATAAATAAGGATAGTCATGATTATAACCTATCAATACAAAAAGGATTGGATAAATGTGGAAAATAAAAATATTTCCCTTACAGTACAATAACAGCTAATATCAGAGACTTGCCATTTGTTGATATCATTGTAATAATTAAAACAGCAAAGAAACATCAATAAATGCTAAAATTGGTAGATAAAATTTTGATGAGGAGTAGGATATTTGTATAGTCTCCAAAACCTCCACAAATATTTATTAATAAAAAAAGGGGAAAATGATTTTAAAATAAAGAAATGTTAAGTGCATACATTGCTTAAGTCTTCCAACACCCACCTTAATGGGACAAACTGAAATTGTATCCATGTGAGAGTTTGCAATGAGAAGCACAAAGCATCCTTCTTGTGGTATTTCTATCAAAAATACAGAACTCAAATCTAATGATGATTCAGTGTCAGAGAAACCAAAATTGAGGAACAGTTCACAAAATAACTGACCTTTAATTTTCAAAAACGTCAAAGACATGAAGTCAAGGAAAAACTGAGGAGATGTTTTGTCTTGAAGAATACTCAAGAGATGGGACAGATAAGTGTAATTTGTAACTGTGTATCGAATCTTTTCCCTATAGAGAACCTTATGGAGAAAACCTTATGGAGAAACTTGAATGAGATCTCTGGATAAAATAGTAGCATGGTATTAATGTTAGTTTCCTAATTTGAATGGTTCTGTGTGACCATGTAGGTAAATGCCCTTGTTATAGGAAATGTGCCATGGAAGACTTCAGAGTGATGGGGTATCATGTAGTCAATTTAGTTTCCAATGGGTCAGGAAAAACAGAGTTCTTTGTACTATTCTTTTAATTATTCTGTAGGCTTGGAATTATTATAAAAAATAGAACATAAAAACCTAATAGAGGAATTACTAAATAAATTGATGTACCAAAATAATGGAATATTAAAGAATTTTCTTAATGATGTTTTAGGAAACTATGTAAAGACATGAAAGCTGAACATAACATATAATTAAATAAGCATATTTATAACTCTACAATATAAAGCTCATTATATATGTACAATTATATATATAATATAAAGCTCATATATAATATTATATATATATATATATATATATATATATATATATAGAGAGAGAGAGAGAGAGAGAGAGAGAGACAGAGAGAGAGAGAGAGAGAGAGAGCTAACATATGTGTTTGGAAGGACAAACAGCAAAATAGCAAAATATTAAGTGTGAGAAAAACTTCACAGATTGAATAATAATACTGAAAAACACCAACATGCAAGGGAGATGCCTAAGAAGAGGAACTATAAAATGTGTCAGAGATCACAAAATATAGAACAATGTTGCAGAAGCAAAGGAAACAATTTTTAGAAGGAGAGAATTGTTTAAAATGTGAAATACCACAAAAGGGAAGCTAATGAAGCTAAAGTTTTTATAAGACTTATTCTATGCCAGGAATTTGAAATTTTATCTCACTGACTCTCTACCAACATAACTACTTGACATTTCACATTTAACATGTCCAACACAGAATTTCTCATTTCCATTTCCAAACTCAGTCCTCCTCTAGTCTTAGCTATATTAGGAAGTGGCAGGACTATTTACTCTGTTCCTCTTGATTTCTTGTATCACATTCAATTCATCAGTATGTCTTGTCTCTTCTACCTTCAAAATACATCCTGAAGTTGACTAGTTCATACTTTAACTTCACTGCACTTTAACTACTACTCTTATCCTCCTTCCCCAGGTTAATACCATCTCTTCCCTGAACTGCTGTAATAGCCTCTTGAAAGGTGTTCTTACTTAGTTCCCACTCCAGTTTCCATGTACAGTGAGAAGGATCTTTTTTAAAAAGTAAAAACTTAAGGAACATTTTAAAACTCTCTTATAATTTCTCATCAACACTTGGAACAAAAATCCTTTGCCACATGCTATGAAACATTTCATATTATGTAAAGGAGGAAAAATTGACATTTTAGATTTGACAATTCTTCATGAATTGCCCGATATTTAACCTCCATGATCCTTCCCATGATTGAGAAGCAATTCTCCATGGGTCTCTTATGTTTTTTTATGTCACAAAAGCATGGCACTAACATCCTTTTATTAAAGATCAAATTTTAAAAGTATGTTTGCCTGACAGACAACCTTGGAAGACAGAAATAATATCTCCCTCAAAACCAAAAGTCGGACATGCTAGTGTGCATTATAAAAGATTTGGGTTCCCAAAGCTCAGGGTTCCTCTCCTACAGTACAACCCACTGTGTATATAGTTATCACTTGGCCCTTTTAATGTACTCCTGTGGGAATTAGAATTCAGCACAGGTTAGAAACTCAAATGCCAATATTCTGATGATGCTATTGCTGTAAGAAGCTACCGGCCTTGTCTCTGACCCAGAAGGCTTGTGTCATCTAGTAGCATCCATGAAACTGTGGCAGGCCAACTTGTTAGCTTGTAAGTAGGATAAGATCTTGGACTCTTCACAGTTCTTGACACCCACGGAGGCTAGTGTGTCTCAAAGCATTGTGGCAACTAAAATAAAGTTTCACAAACTCAGTTGGGATGTACTGTACTGTTCTTTGAGAATATCATTGTCTTACAGGACCTGCTCCCCTCCATTGCCTCAGTAATCTCATCTTTCACCACTTTCTCTCTCTCCATCTAGGCATGTTTGCCTCCTTGTGGTCTCTGAAACACCACAGTGATAGTGCAGTGATACAAACCTGTAATGCCAGTTACTTGGGAGACTGAGGTGGGAGGATCACAAGTTCGAGGCCATTTTTGTTTCATTAAGTTGCCAAAGATGGCCTTGAACTTTTGATCTAAGTGCCTCAGCTCCTGAATCACTGGGATGACAGATTGCACCTGGTATCATTGTCCACATGTGTTTTTCCTTTCCGTGAAGCTTCTGCTCAAATGTGACTTCCTCCGAGAGGCCTCCTGGGTTTCCATCTTTTCTCCTTGTCCTTTGTTTTGTGATGTATTCCCAACTAGAATGTGAACCCTTGCAGTGGGGGGCTTTGCCTAACCTATTGCCAAACTCTCAGTGTTGTATATATGGTAGGCACTTAAAAGATGTTTGTTTAGTTGGGCACACTGTTGCACACCTATAATCCCAGTGACTTGACTTGGGAGGCTGAGGCAGGAGAATTGCAAGTTTTAACCAGGCCCTAAGCAACTTAGCAAGACCCTGTCTCAAAATAAAAAGTAAAAGGGCCAAGGATATGGCTTAGTGGTAAAAAACCCATGGGTTCAATCCCTAGTACAAAAAAAAAAAAAAAAAAAGAAAGAAAGAAAAAAGAAAAAGAAAGAAAGAAATTGTTGAAATTGTTTAATAAATAAATTAATTAAATTAAACCTCATCTCAGAAACTCAATGCTTTGTTGGTATATGTGTATGTGTGTGTGTGAGGGTTTAAACCCTGGACCTCATGTATGCTAGGTAAGCACTCGAGTACTGAGATACATCTGCATTGCAATGCCTTGTTGTTTATATGTCATAAATAGTAATTTCCCCAAAGGCAGTTGCCAAAGAATGTTAACTTCACATAAGCACTTATATTTCTGGTCAATGGGACATCTTTCATTTTTGCTTTAAGGAAGTTCTTTTTCCTGTAAATAGAATTTAATTCTCTACTTTCACTGACAGCTTGTGCAAGAACTGCATTTCCACAGGAGAAAGCAGAAGTCTGAAAACCCTCAGAGCTGTCAGCTTGGAGGCAGAGGTGCATGATCCTATGGCTTTCTGGGGTAACCAGTGAAGATGAAAACTTTGTGTTCAGTATAAACAATAATTCTAATCAGATCAGAACTCTTTCCACAGCCACACATGTACAGTCATCAAAGAGTCCATAGTGGAGTAATGAGAGATGTTTCAGAATCCACTCGAAAGCCTTTTAGAGTTGTTGTTGTGGTTGTTGTTGTTTTGTCTGTATAAATGCACAATAAACCAGATGTGGTGGCACATGCCTATAATCCCAGCAGTTAGGGAGGCTGAGACAGGAGGATCGAGAGTTCAAAGCCAGCCTCACCAAAAGTGAGGCACTAAGCAACTCAGTGAGAGCCTGTCTCTAAATAAAATATAAAAAAGGGCTAGGGATGTGGCTCAGTGGTTGAGTGCCCTTGAGTTCAATCCCCAGTACCAATAAACACATAAATAAACAAATAAATAAATGTACAATAAACTTCATGGGATTCTCATTAAATAGTGTGAGTTATCATTGTCACTGTCAATCAACCACTCACTACTATTTAAAAACAGCATTATACAAACTTTTCTGGGCAGGTGAATTCATCTGATAGTTGGAGCGAGCAAAGAATTAACAAGGCTTCCAGAATTTTATCTCAAGAGGCTTATTTTTACTAAGTATGCTACATCTTGTGCTCACATCAACCCTTCAAAGGAGGAATTATCTGCATCTTACTGTTTGATAAAAGACACACATTGTAGGCTCTTGATCTGATTTTTACTTTCTTTTGACTTTAAGTTATTTATCACCTTACTTTCCCAAGTGCTTCTAGTTCTGAGGATGGATACTTTCTTCCTCAACTGTAACAAAGTCAAAATATCTTTCTTGACCGATTTCTAGGATTTTTCTTTTTGAGAAGATGTGGCAGAGTAAGAAAAATGTAAAGAGTACCATGAACTGGCTGGGCTATAAAGCTCCAAAGACAAGCTATGAAACCTGTCCTTGGAAGTGTCAGGGTAGCTGGGTACAGTGGTGCACGCCTGTATTCCCAGTGGCTTCGGAGGCCGAGGCAGGAGGATTGCAAGTTCAAAGCCAGCCTCATCAACTTAGCAAGGCCCTGAGCAACTAAACAACATACTATTTGAAAATAAAAAATAGAAAGGGCCAGGGATGTGGCTCAGTGGTTAAGTGTCCCTGGGTCCAATCTCTGGCACCAAAAAAAAAAAGAAGTGTCAAGTTGGTGGGGGTGAGACAGATGTGCAGGTAGTTCATTATGATGTGATAATTCTTGGATATAGATAAATAGCAGGCTCCAGAGCCAGAAAAGGAACATTTATAAAGAAGCTGATGGAGTCAAGGAAGGCTTCCTGGAAGGCACTGATCCCGGATGCTAATCTTGAGGGCTGAGTGGACAGTAACAGCGTTGGAGGCATTTCAGCTACAGGGAGGGCAGAAGGAACAACTTATTGAAGTGCATGCTGTTTGAGAGAGGCAGGTTTTGTCAAATAAGCATGGAAGTAGCATGAGATGAGGCCAGAGGGCAAGCAGGGTGTATGTGGGCCATGAAGACTATGGGCACCACAGAAGGATATGAAACAAGCAGGTTATGTGGTGAATCTGCTTTTTAATAATAAGATCTCTCTGGCAGCAGGGTGGAAAAAGAACTGCAGAGACAGAGCACTCACATCTGTTTTAATATGGTTTGTAGCTGAGTATCTGCAAGTGATTATTTCTCAAGTGTTATGATTGCTACTCAGAATTTGGGTATTGTCTTTATCCACCACATGAATCCAGATTTCTTGTAGTAATAATGTTCAGCAAACAAGGGGCAGCAAATAGAAGAGCCCTGGGAATAATGAAGAGAAGGGGCTGCCAGGGAGGGATCTGCAGGGTCACAGTTCACGGAACAAACATAAATGGACTCTTGAAGGACAACGAGTGCTCTAGTTGCACTGCAGCTGAACAATGGCCCCCGATGCAAAGAAGTGCAAATGTTTTCAGTCAGTGCAGGAAAAAAGAGCTAGGAAGAAAATAACACCATGAGTTTTTATAGTAAAGCAGGAGAACACTTTTCTTCCGTGGAGGGTTGAAATGTAAAAGACAATTTTTTTCTTAATTTAAGACATTTGTCAAAGAAAACTGTTAAGTCAATAGCTAAACACAGCTCTCACCCATTCTACCATGAACTTTGCTTGGATATCTAAAGATCGGAACTTAAGTGCCATTTTCTTTTTTCTTTTCTTTTCTTGCTTTCTTTTTTTTTTTTTTGTACTAGGGATTGAACCCAGGGGCACTGAGCCACATCCCCAGCCCTATTTTATATTTAGAGCCAGGGTCTCACTGAGTTGCTTAGCACCTCACTAAGTTACTGAGGCTGAATTTGAACTTGCGATTCTCCGGCCTCAGCCTCCAGAGCTGCTGGGATTACAGGTGTGTGCCACCACGCCCGGCTCGACTTTTTTAAAAAAAATTGTTCTCATTAGTTATATAGACAGTAGAATGCATTTTGACACATCATACATAAATGGAATATAACTTCTCATTCTTCTAGGTTGTACATTTAAGTGCCATTTTCTAAGTATTTAACATCTTGTTGCTAAAGCCCTGTGTGTTCACAAGTGTGTCCACGTGTGTGCCTGTGTACATGTGTGCCTGTGTTTGTGTGTATTTGTGGTGCTGGGTATAGAGCCCAGGGCCTCAGGCATGCCAGATAAGCACCACTGAGCTATACCCCCAACCCAATCATTGTATTCTTTATGATTTACATTGGATCAGATGAACTGAGTCACAACCTTTAAATATTATATTCATTCCCAAGTCTTATATCCCAAGCTAGAATTTTTATGTGAATAAAACTTCAACTTTTACTGCTCTTACAACTCTTACTGACTTCCAGACAATGAAAGAGCTCGTGGTTAGACTGATGTTACTTACGGAAGGTGCAGTGGGCACGAGGTCACTTTCTGTTCTTCCTGTCTGCATTGCTGTGTGAACCCTGACAGATTCATAAATGGAAGGTTCTTCCACTACTCTTGGATAGGGATGTTTCAGAACGATCAGAGTGCCTGAATAAGGACAAAAAAATATATATGTATCATCAAATGATAGCCCCAGAAGGAAGATCCAAAATGCTAACTGGATGCCCATGACTGGATTGTAAAGTTGCTCATTTTCTCTTGTGTTCAGCTATTCATTTTTCTCAACATTTGTGGAATAACTACCGCATGCCAGACACTTGAGCTGGACACTGAGACAGCAAGCATGGTAGAGATGATTTTTGGCCTCCTAGAGCTCTGAACTAGTAATGGATATAGTCATTTAAACTAGGAGGGTGGTGAGACTGGTGGAAGCAACATAGGCCAAGCATGTTGAGAGCTCCTAAGAACCTCACGAGAAGTATTCAGGAGGCTCTCAAAGAGGAGATACCATTGATCCCTTAAGCAGTAACTGGAAGACTTCCAGGTGGGGTTTATGAAACCAGGAAAACAAATAAACAAATGCCCTGGGGTACAGGAGGATCTAGCAGTTTCAGAACAAACTTGTAACAAATCAGTGGATCTCAAAAAAGGGGACTCAACAGCCCTCTCCTCACTTTCTTCTACCACTCGGTCAATTAACTGAACGAAACCTTTGCTTTGCTTAAGGGAACAGAACACCAGTCAGCTGGTGCTCACCTGTGACTGCCTCTACTGCGTCTGGAGGAAGGGCCAGGCACTAAATAGGCTCAGCCCAGGGGCCAGACCTTGAGTCTCGGGAACTTTGTACAGAAGCTTCGAACACTTCTGACTTAACACTTTGATATTTCCCCTGCTGCCTCCTTCCCCTGATCAATGAGTCCATCAGAAACTAGAAACGTTGACTACAAAAAAATGTGAACGAAATGGACTTTCCTCCCTTGCTATGGCTTCTTGCTTTTTATTTCACTAAGATCTTTTCTACAGCAGGTCGAGGATGGCACTAGACAGAGGAGGTGTAAAGAATTCGGTAATTCATCAACACATATTCATGAAGCCCTGCTCTACCCTGCACTGACTAGGCACCTGGGAGACAACAGCAAACATGAGGCACCTGCTCTTTTAGAGCTTATATTCTAGGAGGGGAACCAGAAAAAGAATGGAAAAAAAAATGTCATGTGTGAGAGGTGTTGTGGAAAAATGAATAGAACAGGGTAAAGGGACAGAGGGTGAAAAGGGTGGGATTGGGAGAGGTGATATTTTCCAGCAGTGGCCATCTTTGAAGAGATGATTTGAAAGATTATATAAAATAGCTGGGCACCATGGCACGCACTTGTAATCCCAGCAACTCAGAGGCTGAGGCAGGAGAATTACAAGTTTCAGGAGTTCCTCAGCAACTTAGCAAAATCCTGTCTCAAAATAAAAATATAAAAAGGTCTGGGGATATAGCTCAGTGGCAAAGCACACCTGGGTTTAATCCCCAGTACTGCAAAGAAAGAAAGGCTAAAAACAGAATATATGGACACTAAATTTTGGTACAAGAGGACAATGAGAAAAGAAAAAAATGCTTCCTTTGTGGTTAAAAAAAATACAAAACCTAATGTTAATGATGAATCTATATAATTTTTTTTTACAATGCTTGAATACATACAACATCTGATTACAAAAAACAGAACTGTGGCTTCTGATACCTGGGGCCCACACAATGTGCTGCCATGAAATGAAAAGACATGTTGAGAAAAGCCAAAAAAGAAGTCCCTGATCTCAGTCTCAGAGAATGAAGGCGGTGGCCCCTCCTCTTTGTGCCTCCCATTCAGGTCAGTTGCATTGGGATCATAATGAAAAATGGCTTGCCCCGTTATCAGAGGCCCCAGTCCTGTTCTTGCACATTGTCTGTGCTCTCTTTTGTCAATGTGACCCTTCCATGGGAACACATCTAGTCATATAAGGAGAAGGGGCCAGTTACAGTTTCACAGTCAGAATGAAAGCAACACCTAAATCAAGAGCAGCCGTTGAGCAGGTCCAGGGGCCACGCAAACACGGATACCATTGCTGTTGTGTGCTGAACTTGGGGAGGGCTGCTGAAATCCTACCCCAGAGAATTGCCTTCAGCGGCAAAAAGAGCCCTGGATGCAGAGGCAGAGCACAGGGCTGGATTGCCACCACTACTACGCTGTCCCGTTGACCTTGGATGACTGTTCTAAGCTTTCATTCTATCTCTGACTATAAGAGCAGTCACACTTTCCTCACACCAGGTAAAGAAGTGATTGTGGACAATTATAAAAATGGTAGATAGCATTCTACTTTGGTATCGAGAACTCCACAAAATAGTTTGAGTTCTTGTCCTATCTTCAAAGTTAATGCCAAAATTTCACCCTATTCCATATACTTAATATTAAAACAATGCTTTAAGTGAAAATAGAAAGATATACCTGATGGATATTACCAGAAACACCCTTTGCATACTCTTACCTGCATTCCTATTATTTCTGTAGGGAATCATTACACTGATTGGTTCAAAACATTTATTATCTGACAGTTCTGGGGGACAGGAATCTGACATGGATCTCATTAGTCTGAAATCAAGGTATTGGCAAGGCTGCCTTCCTTCTGAAGCTCTAGGGGAGAAGCTGTTCCCTGGTATTTTCTAGCTTCTAGTCTAAAGGATATCTTTTTTTGACCTTTCTTCCATCTTCAAAGCCAGCAACAGGAGGTCAGGTCCTCCTCATGTCGCCATCTCTCTGGTTCTTCCTCTTCTGCCCGACTCTTTTACTTACAGCAATTCTTGTGATTACAATGGCCCCATCTGCATAATCCAGGATAATATCATCTCAGAATTTTCTGACGAGCAGTCTTTATTCAACCTATAAACTTAATTCTCTCTTGCCACGTGGCATACCATATTCACAGGTCAGGGGAGAAGTGTTTGCATGTGTTTGGATGGCCATTATCTGGTGGACCCCAAGCTTAGTCTCTGGGAGAGAGGAGAACCATAGGAACCAGGTGTGCTGCAGTATGAAGGTCTCTGGGCTGGGGTAGTTGCCTGAACCTGCAGGACCTCAACCACTTGATATTAGGAAGTCACTGCATTTCCTATTTCATTTCAAAGTTCTCTGGACCCCTTCAGAGCTGCTGTGGTGTCAAATTCTTCTTTATACCTCCATGCTTCAGAGTTTCTGACGCAGTGAAGGCCTGATGAGCGAGGGAATGGATGAATGAATGCTACAGTAGTTCAGACTTAAGTCAGGGAAAAGCCTGGGGTGAATGAGCCTCCCAGGCCCACAGCTCCCCTGGGCTATGCCAAGAACAGGACAACTTTAGACATGACTCTTTAAAATCTCCATTGGAAGGGAAATTCTATTTTGGAAACCTCCTCCAAAGTTTAACCCAACAAAAGCTGATTCAGGGAGGTAGTATTGAGTCAACTAGAAGAGTGGAATTAACTGTAGGTTGATTTTTTAACTAGTAAAACCATGCATGAGGCTAGATTCAATTGTGGAAGGAAGAAAATGACAAACTACTTATAAAATGGTACCTTCCATAAATAAAAGTCTGGTGTCAAAGAAGACAGAACTTTAGCTGAACATTCTTGTCCAAGGAAGAACAAATATATAGACATCTTGGCCTGGCTGCTAGGCTTCGGATGACTCCCTTTCTATAGAGACAGTCCCATTCCACTCTACAGAGATAGAGTCCCCCCAGCCCTACAGAACCACCGGGCAATGGCCCCTCGCCCACAAACATGCAATCTGGGCCACACTCATTAGGTTTACTTCCTGTGTCCCCTTACTTCCTTCTCTGGAAGGAAGGCCACCAATTTCAGTGTGTGAAAAGCATGAAGTAGACTGTTGTTTCCTGCCTTTGACATGAAACCTGGTTTCAGTAACGTTCTGCGGAGGTGCATTTTGGAGATGAGCAGGGGCTAGACAGAGACAGGCTTTCCAACTCACTGGAAACCTCAGAGTTGCCATCACAACTGATGAGATGATTCCTGCCTCTTGGTTGTTCAACTTGCCCTTTAATTCTGGGAGGACATATTAGTATCTTTCTAAAAAAAAATTTCCAATCTTCTCTCTGTACTTTGCTCCCCCTACACTATATATTTTCTTTAATTCACTTAGCTAGAGTTAGTTTTTGTGTTTGCAATCAAAAGAAACTTATCTAATGTAGCCACCACGGACTCATAATCTCCCCCTCAAGGTCCAAGATAGTGCCTTGGCTCCAAAAGAAGAACTCTGGGTTGGTGATATTTAGACCAAAAGAACCCAGAACTTGGTTGGAAGATAGAGATAAAAAGCAACGGGAGGCAGGGGGTGGTGGAGGAAGATCAGCAACCACAGGCCTTGGAAACTTGGCTGCAAGTTTCACTTCAGTTTCTGAGCTGCATGAAGGGGACTGTTGTTTCCTGCCCTTGACATGAAACTAGGTTTCAGACATGCTCTGCAGAGGTTCATTTTTGAGATGATCAGAGCTGGATGGGGGCAGACATTCTAGCTTGCTCTGGCTGAAAGATAACACAGTGATGTGTAAGAGGTGCATCAATAACTCTGTGTGCAACAATATGAGACAGCATTCAAGGACTCCTATCTTGTGTACCAGCAGGGAGCCAGGAAAAGACAAGAACAGCCTCAAGCCTCGGGCATTATTTTGGTATCTGAAATACAGTGCAGCGCAGAGGGCACAGAACTCCTGAAGGGAAACTTTTAAGTATTTCCTTTATACCATCAAGTTGGTACTTAGTTATTACATTCCTCAGCTGGACTCTTGAGGTGTTGGAGGACAAAAATGATATCAGTTCATCTCTCTCTATAAATCAGTGGCTAACAATGCCCATCTTATGGCTGGCATTCAATAAAATATTTGCTGAACAAAATTAAAATGGGATCACATACACCCATTTTTTTTTTTATTACTGCCTTCAGGTTCAGAAAACAAGTGCTGCAAATGGCATGATGGGTTCTGTCTTCTCCTGCCAATTGGCAGTGGGTCTCTTGGCCCAGGCGTACATCAATATTCAAGGCCCTTGTTTTCTTTCCTTCCTTTCTTTTTTTCTTTTTCTTTTTTGATACTGGGGTTGAGCCCAGGGGCCCTTGACCATCAAGCCACATATC